GACCACCGAACCTCGACTCCGTATACTATAAATTATAGTATATGGTTTGAATTGAAATTCTCTTTTTTTGTTCACGTCATTTCTTAGGTAAGAACCTGAATTTTATACTTCAGGTAGGGTTCGTCATTTTATTTTTCGATTGGATTTTTTTTTCTTGATCGAATTGAATAAATTAAAATTAAAATCAAATCGAATTAAAATTTAATTTTTTAGTTAAAAAAATAAATTTTGGTTTTTTTTTCAGGTTAAAAATTGATTGTTTTTGCATCTTTGTTCTAAATTTTGAATTTCCTCTTAATCAAGTTGAAAAATCAATTTTTTGTAATTTTTTTCGATTTTCAAGGCTTAATAATAGCTTGAGTTGAAGTTTTAGCAAAGAAAATCATAAAAAAATACTATGAGTTTTGGATGTGTGTGTTAAAAAAAATACTAATTTGATTTTCGGTAAAAACCGAATTAAAAAAATAAAAACTAAAGTGAATCGAAATAATTTTGATTTTTTATTTTAGTTTTTTTTTTCAAATTTTTTGTACGAAACTGAATCGAAATTGCTAATTCAGTTCGATTCGATTTAATTTTTTGGTTTTAATAAAATAATACTCACTCCTAACTATCACTGTTTTAAAGTTCAATTTTTATAATCGATCCAAAATTATATATGATCTAATGCTAATTTAATTTAAAATATAGTGAATTTATTTTATACTAGTCACTTTCACGAGCTACGCAGCGGGATCGATAAAAAAAATCATTTTAAAATTTTTAATTATAATCTTTTATTCACTTAATTTTTGTAATATTTTAAATAATTTTTTTGCTTAAAAAATATAATCAAGAATTTATTTTAAAATTAAAAAATATTAATTTTAACTAAAATATTAATCAAGAATTTAAAAAAAATTTTAAAATATAATTTTTATAATATTATATTCCAAACAATAAAGTTATAATTAATAGATAGACTTTTACAAAAATTAACAAATGAGAAAAAATTCTTATTTAATGTCAATGAGAAGATTAATTTTTGAAATTATTTGTGCAACACTACAAGTAGATAGAACACCTAATTAAATAAAAAAACATAAATTTATGAAAATTATAAAAAAACACCTAAATAAAAAAAAGAATATATCATATAAATAGAAAAAATATTGTATATTATATAATAGTCATTTTGTGTAAAAAAAATTAATGATTGATTTTTTAAAATTTTAACACCTCATTAAAATAAAAAAAGAACATAAGTTGATGAAAAAAAAAGCAAAATTGATTTTTTAAAATAACATAAATTGTTAAAAAAAAGAAACAAAAGAAAAAAACTATGTGTAGTACATCAGTTAGGAGATTAAAACTTTTATTTAAAAAATTTAGAGATCAAAATAAAATAAACCTGAAAATTTTTTAAAATTATATAAAAAAAACTTAAATTGATGTAAAAAAAAAAAAAATTGAGAGGGGGGGGGGGGGGGTTGGGAACACACTTGCTACAAGACAATAGTGAAATCAAAGCACTTAAAAAAAATGCTTGTAAAAAGTTGAAGAAAGACCGACAGAGGGAAGACAAAGTTGAAAGTTAGCTGAAAAAACTTATGCTTGCAAAGTGTTTTAGAGTTAAAAAAAAAAAAAAAAAGGAAAACAGTTGGAAAACACTGTTTATCAAACACTAAAATATCCTTTTGTTTTAAAGTATTTGTAATATATATATAAAACGTCATCATCTCTGTTTCTATTCATCAAGAATTTAGTACACATGTTAGTATTAGATTCCCATTTAATAGACTCCACGAGATACATTCTTATTACACATGTGACAATGTAGTGTTGGATTTCTATCTGATAGACTCCATGAGGTAGACTTGTGTGGTCAAGAACTTTTTGATTTTTTTTTTTTAGTTTGAATATGAGGAAGTATTTAGAGGAATAAAAATAGTGGCGAAATTAGGATTTGTAGCAAAAAGAGAGAAAAATAAAATTAAAACAACTTTTATTAACCCAAGAAATATAATAATCGATTTTTATTATTATGCTTGAACCAAGTATTTGCATAATATATATATATATGTGGGTGTATGTTAGTTTTTTCTATTTATTCTGCAAGTTGGACCGTAGGCATTAAGACAATAACAAGTCGGAAAGGACTAACTGGCTTACTATCCGGCATTGCTTCTCGTGCTTTAAGCTCAACCTCACCACATTACTGCATTACCCTATCATGTACTTGTTAGGAAAACATGCCTGGATACATAATAATTTAGGTACCATAAAATGAGTGTTTTCAAGTAGGATATTTATTCTATATTTTAAAAAAAGGAAAAAAAAGCATTTTATAAGTAGAAATTTTGTAAAGATTTAGAGAGAAATCAAATGGGAGGAGGGGAGCTAATAGGAGAAATTAATTAATCAAATATTAATTAAATTAAATTCATAATTAATTAATTAATATTTTTTGTGATAGTTAATTAATTAAAAAAAAGAATATAACAATTATGACTGTTGGATTATGACAATTGTGACTGTTGGATTATAACAGTTAAAGGTAAAAATTATGACTGTTGGATCAAACTAGCTTTTTAATCATTATATTGGTTATGGAAAGTTTTAACAATACTACTGCTTAAAAAATGAATTAATTCTTTCTTTTACAATTTTCCTCCTTCTCTTTTTTCTCTCAAAACTCTTTTCTTCGTAAATTCTATAGCTTCAAGAGAAATTGTAAAGAAAGAATTTCATAAGTGTTATATATAATTTCTCAGGTGTAAAGTTAAATTCTAGAGATGAATTGTCAAAAGCCTTGCAACATTACAATGGGGGTGATAATCACCTTATGGACAGTGTAGGGATATTTTTTTCATGTAATTAAGCATTGTATTCTTTTGTTTTCATCTTTGAATTTCTGCAACTCTAGTACTTCTCAAATTTTTTTATTAAAATCTTCACTTTTCTTTTTTTAAATTAATTGAAATTTTTTATTTTTAAAATTTTTATTTCAAACCATCTATTATAATGCTACTAATTAACAATTAACATATGATATTATAAAATAAAAAAATTGATTACTAATTAGTGGCAATTAATTTATAGTCTCTCCGTTTTTTTAAACGGTCAGTTAATTTAGTTTTTTAAATCAAGGGCATATTGTGCCCTTCTGTACGATGATGATGTGTGTGGAAGATGGACCCTAGGCATTAAGACAATAACAAGTCAGACAGGACTAACTGGCTACCATCCGACATTGTTTATCGTGCTTTAAGCTCAACCTCACAATATCGACTGCATTTTTTCCTCGTGCTTCAAAAACCCTATCCGGTACTTTTATTTTTATTTTTTATTAAAATCTTTACTTTTTTTTTAAACTTAAATGAAATTCTTTATACTTTAAATTTTTTAGTTTAAGCCCTTTGTTGTAATGCTAATAATCAATAATAGACACATAACATTATAAAAATGTAAAAAAAATATCAATCACTGATTAATAGCATTAAAAAAAAAGGTCTAGAACAAAAAATTTTAAAAAATAGAAGATCTCAATCAATCTAAAAAAGAGTCGAAAATCTCAATTAAAAAATTAAAAAAATATAAAGTCCAAATATATAAAAAAAAAACCTTAAAAAAATTAACAATTATTAGTATGATACCTTATTCTTCTTATTTTTTTCATTTGAAAATTAGTCAAATCTCTTATTAAATTTTCAATTTTTAGAATTTGCATTTATTTAAGGAAAATAATTTGCATATATCTTTAAATCAATTTGTAACCTAATCGTTTTCATTTTTTTCTATTTTTTCTTTTAATAAATAGAAAAGAAAAAAAAGTAAAAATATAGAAAATCAAAGAGAAAAATAAGATATTTTATAAAATAAAATAATATTAAATTAATTATGATTAAAATTAGTAAGGATTGATTAATTTAGTTTTTGAAACAAGAAAGACTATTTAATTCGTTTTGCAAAATTAGAAGGATTGATTTATAATTTACTTCATCAAACTCTAATTTGTTGCCTCTCTCTTTTTTTAATTAAAAATTAAGTTAACAATGACCTAAATCTAAAACGACCCAACTCTAATTATTTGCTTCACCATGTAAATAAACAATAAATTTCAAAAGCGATAAATATACTTCTTGAGAATTTGAGGTTCCAAACATGGGCCATTCAGACTGTATAAAAACACAAAACTGGGCCTCAAATTGGGCTTTATGGGCCAAGTTCTATTCATAACAAACAAAAATATCAGAACTCTCCTCCTTTTCTACAGGACTTCATCCAATGGCATATATAAAAAGATTTAATAGCAAAAATTACTCTCATCCAATCACGTATATAAAAACACTCAATAACAAAAATAACTCCCAAACTATTAGAATTATGATTTGAATTATTTGGACCTAAAATTATTATTTTTTTGAGTCAATATTATCGTTCATTTGTTATCTTTAATGATCAAAGTATTGACAATTAATTTAAATGCTTAAACCGTGTCGTTTAAGCTTTCATTTTTTAATTGTAAAAATTATTTTTAAATTATTAGAGTTATGAAAATTTAAAATTTTATAACCAATTTAGGTTATTTAGACTTTAAACTATTATTTTTTTAGTAAATGTTATCTTTTTTTCTTTATTTTTTTACTGTTAAAACATTGATAATTAACTTAAATGCTTAAACTATGTTGTATAAACATTCTACCATATGGTAGCTTATTTTGAACATACCAAATACTTAAATAAAAAAAAAAAAATTGGGCATTCAAATAAAAAATTTTACCGATTGAACACTCAATCAGAAGAAAATAAAAAATTGGGTACTTAAATTGTAGTTTTCTCAAAAGATAGGATATGATACTGAGATTTTTAAATCAGATGGACTAGCTAGTTGTTTCACTAAGAACACAGGGACTGATTAATAACTACCTTATCTAAAATCTTCCCCAACCCAATTGCTCGCTATCTTTTCTCATTCTTCCATTTCGCTGATTCACTCCCTCTTCACTGCCTAAAAAACGATGTCGTATATCCCTCCCCACCTGAGAAACTCGAGCTCAACCACCACCATAACTACTTCCAGAACTAACTCACTGCCTCTAACAGACACGAACGATCACGCTAACCTCTCTCATTCCTCTTCAAATGTCAACTCCAAAACCACCACTTCCTCCTCCGCCACTTCTTCGTCCTCGACATTCAACTCGCGTCGGAGCTCCGGCGGTGTCGCTCGAACAATCTCTGTTCCTGAACCTGTTTTTCCTAAGTGGACGCCCTCCGACCGCGTTCTTCGATTCAATCCTGATCAGGTTCACTTCTTTTTCAAGTTTTTCACTTTTTGCTAATTTAAGTAACTAAAATGCGTTAATTAAATTAATAATTGATTGAGTTTTTAATGATAAATGCAGATTGAAGAAATTCGGTCTCGGCTTAATATAGATGTCAGCGTTGCTTCGGGTTCACCTCCTGCACCTGCGCCTATTGAATCATTTGAAGATATGGTGGATTCTTCTTCTTCTTTTATTTTTTTATTTTTGAAGTTTCTATATTTTAGTAACATTTTTATTTATTATGGAGTAATATGTGAAACTGAAGAGGATTTGGTTGTTAGTGTTTGCATCAAAGTATCATGAAGGATATTGCGTATCATGAATATACGAGACCGACTTCAATTCAGGCTCAGGCAATGACAGTTGCGCTTAGTGGAAGGGATTTGTTGGGTTGTGCTGAAACTGGTAGTGGAAAAACTGCTGCATTTACCATTCCTATGATACAGGTGATTAAATTAATGTTAAAAGTCATTATATTAGTGGATATATTGTGTGGATATTGTATTTTGTTTGCGTTGTTTGATTGAGATCTTTTATTTTGATCTGCAGCATTGCTTGGCTCAACCTCCTGTTCGGCGTGGTGATGGACCATCGGCATTGGTGTTGGCTCCTACCAGAGAACTTGCTCAGCAGATTGAAAAGGAGGTATGATAGCTGCTTTTCAGTTGTAGGGGGCAATGATATACTTCTGGATATTCTGGTCATATTTTGTTTATATATGTGATGTATTATCAGTAATTTGAACTGCCTTGAGTCCTCTAGAACAAGGACATACTCATGTTTCATTCTGGTTATGTTTCGGATTGATATATTATATACTGATATTGAGCTACTTTGTCTTATCTTTCAGGTTAAAGGTTTTAGTAGATCTCTCGAGTCCTTTAGAACTGCGATCGTGGTGGGTGGAACAAATATTGCTGACCAGGTAAATGTTGCTCTGATCATTTGGCTTTCTATTGCTTGATTGTAATTTCTAGGTACACTAATAGACTAGAAATGGTGGGTTCTTATCCATGTCCTCTTGCCTTGGAATTGCCAGCATGTGGCTTGGAAGAATAAAAGAAAACTTGTCATGTATTGGAGTTTTATTGATATTTTGTGTATCTGTGAGAATTAGACTCTTTTAATAGCATTTTATTTTCTTCGCCAGCACGTGAGAATGCCTCTTGATGCCTTGTTGTATCGTATTATCGCATTAGCATATGATTTTCATTTAGTTTCCTTATACTCGTTTGTTTTTTGTTTTCTTTTGATGATGCTGCATACCATGACAGAGGTCTGAGCTACGAATGGGAGTCGATGTAATTGTTGCTACTCCTGGAAGATTCATTGATCATTTACAACAAGGAAACACTTCCCTTTCTAGAATTTCATTTATAATTCTGGATGAAGCTGACAGAATGCTTGACATGGGGTTTGAACCACAGATTAGAGAGGTACATGATTCTGCAATTTGTTGCTCAATAGTGCACACAACATGATGGTTATGCTCCTGCTTTTCATTTCTGCCTTTTCTTGGTTGATGAACTATTTCTGAATAACTTACATACGCTTTAAAGCAGTCAGGCTAGGTCTCAGTGACTTAAACATTTTCATAAGAATAGCAACTTTACCCTTGTTTAACAAAAACTTAAACAAGTAAAAAACACCAAGATTTCCAGCAACCAACTCATCGATCAGTGTGAAACATTCAAGGGAGATATCCGAGTTTAACTTTCCATATTGCATATGATGGAAATGCATATGAGTGGTTGGATTCTTTTTTTCTTTTTTTCTTTTTGTTATATATATATAACAAAAGGATAGAATAGTGCATTTTGCTTGATATATTCTTATGCTTTCTCTGTATCATTGTCATCTGAGTGGATTCTTCAACTGCAGATAGAATAGTGCTTGATATGACTGATGTTTATACACTTGCAAGAATTGCAGTAATATTCAACAAGAATATGTATTAACTGCGTCGATATTGTTTCAGGTTATGCGCAACCTTCCAGAAAAGCATCAAACTTTGCTGTTCAGTGCAACTATGCCTGTGGAAATTGAAACACTAGCACAGGTTAGATCTCCTGCTTATTTCGTTTGTGTTTACCTTTAAAATCATCGTATGATTCTTGCAATATGAGGAAAGTGGGAATAATTTTTAGGGGATATTGATGGATCCGTGCTTCGTTTTCTTTAACAGCTATCATTTGAATCAAACCCTGGCCCATGGAGTAGAACATCTAATGTTTCATTTTTTTTAAAAAAAATTTCAGTGTAGCCTTTTAACAGTAGCTTGTTGCCTTCAAATTCATGTTTTGATTATCCAAGGTGGTTCAATTCCAGGTTGCTTCCATCTGAGTTTGATTAATTTATGAAGCCCTCTCTTCTGGAGTATTTTCTTTGGCATTAAGATATACATTGATCCTCCATCTTGTTTTATTTGTGTGCAAGTCCTTGGAAATATTCTTTTGGAAACTTCAAACTTGGCTGTCTTCAGATAGTTTATTGTCCCCATGTGGTCAAAATATTATCCTCAAATTTGAATTGTTGTATGAAAATCGCACCTTAAAGTACAATTTTGAATTCCATTCTTGTGATACTAGACATTTATGTCAATGTGTTTAAATTTGCTCTTCTTATCCTATTTTCCCAATATTCTCAGTCATATTTGGCATGGTGCCCCATGGTTGCTTTATTTCAGTGGTCTATATTTAAGGCTTTTAAATCATTGTGTCACCAGGATGAGTGTGATAGTGGCATTCAAAATCCTGCCACAACTCATGTCTTTGCTTTTACTATATTTTTGAAAAGAAGCCAACTATATATTTTCCCTCCCGCTTGCCTCTAAACCGGGCTGGTTTTGCTTGCAAGTAATATCTATATTGAGTTGCAAATGTTGAGATATTTTCTTAATGAATAATATTAGGTTGAGCATCGTAAGATTATATTGGTTAATTTATCCTGACACAAAGAATTTTATGTCAAAATTGCCTTGTTTTTATTCAATTTCAGGAATACTTAACTAGCCCTGTGCAAGTTAAGGTAGGAAAAGTGAGTAGCCCAACTGCAAATGTGTCTCAAATTCTGACAAGGGTTTCTGAAAGTGAGAAGGTATGTTTCTCTTGGTGCATCAGTACAAGATATCTTGTTTCACATACAGTGTTGAATGTAGACTTGGTATATATTGGTTTGCATGGACCTAGTAAATGGTTCTTTTATAAGCAAGTGAGGAGGTTAGGCTTGTAATTCTCCATAAGCATCGTCATACCATCAGCTTCACCTTTGATTTAGACATTGCCACATTGTTTAACTGAAGCAATTTCATTATTTGAAATAGAGAGAACAATTGAAGATAAAATATACTGTTGCTCACAAGCTTGTAACTGAAGAAACATTACAACATTCCATTCTGTTATTGGAGCATATCCATTCGATGTGATGGTATATTTTATTATTATCAAATATATAACTTGGATGATTATATTCTTTTAACTGTTTTAAGGTAACATCTGTTCTTTCGAGTTTGTGTGATCCATCGATTAATCAGATTGGTAGCGTTGTGAAAGCATTTATTGTGGTGCAGATTGATTGCATTCTAGCTCTGCTTGTGGAGGTTGCAACTCAGGCTGAAAGATCCAATCTACCCTTTCCCTTGACTATTGTGTTTGTGGAGAGGAAGGTATGCCTTGTACTATATATTTTTTATGCACTTTAAGTTATGTTTCTCTGTTGCTATTTACACTTCTATCTTGCGAGTTTATTATGTAAAGTTTTGATGCTTGAATATGGTCTGCTTGTAGACAAGGTGCAATGAAGTTACTGAAGCTTTGGTAGCACAAGGCTTACAGGCAGTTGCTCTTCATGGTGGCCGTAGCCAGAGTGAAAGAGAGGCTGCTCTGCATGATTTTAGGAGTGGCTCTAACAATATTTTGGTATTATGATTTATGTCACTTAAGCACCTTGAGTACTTGCTTTTGGATGTGTTCATTATCAACACCATAACTTGTTTTACATAACTCAGTTTGCGACGTTCCTTAATTATGATATATTCAAGCTGTCTTACTTTCTTTGTTGAAGTTACCAATGAATTAAATTTAATGCTCTTATTCATAACCCAAACACCCCCCCCCCCTCTCTATCTCTCCATCCTCTATATGTTGTACACATACTGTCACACATGCATGCATGCTTGTGATTTACCATCCTATGGTGCTTTTTAATACGATTACGAATTCCCCCCCCCCCCCCCCCAAAAAAAAAAAAAAAAAAAAAAAAGCATCTTTCCTATGTACAGTAGATTCATGCTATATGCTTCCTCTTTTACTCCTCCTTCCCTTATCTTCTATAAATTTCCTTTCGAATTTGATATTGTTTATGTTTCATATCATGATCTCCATGTGCAGGTTGCCACTGATGTTGCATCTCGTGGATTGGATGTAACTGGAGTTGCTCATGTAATTAATCTGGATCTCCCGAAGGTATTTTAGTGGAAACTTTTTTGATCACCAAATTGTTAGCTTAAATCCACAAACACAGCTTGGAAGTATTTCATCGATTATTTTGTTGGAAAAACTTGGGAATTCTACTTGGTGTATGGATTGGCAGCCATTCTAGCAGTTCACAATATCATTGGTAGTGATCTTGATTATAGAAGTATCCTGAAATCTCAGCTTGTGTTGAGGCTAACCAGAACCATGCCTTGAGGTACATCATGGCCAATTTCTCAGCTTGCGGTCATGGAATCTTTGTGCTACATATCTTTAGCATATCGTTAGCCTTATCATTTTCAGTTGCAATTAATCTCATCTGAAATAACAAACCTGAAGCTTCAGTTATGGCTGCCTCCATTATAGGCAATGGAAGATTATGTGCATCGAATTGGAAGGACAGGCCGTGCAGGATCAACTGGCCAAGCTACTTCATTTTACACTGATCGAGATCTGGTACCTCCTTCACTTTATCTTTCTACTTATTTCTTATGCCTCCTTCTCATGTATTTGCTGGCTCTTGACTGGTGTGCCTTCTTACTCTAGTTCCTGGTGGCACAAATAAAGAAAGCAATTGCAGATGCTGAATCGGGGAACACAGTGACTTTTGCAACTGGCAAGGTATTGATTTTATATTCTAATATGCTTTAATAATTTCTTTTATAATAAAACACTTCTATTAGTTGTATTTCTCCCACTTCACATTTTCTGCTCCGCACCTCTTCATGCGAACCCTCTATCGTAATCTTGTTTGCATTGGTCACAGTGAAATGGGATGTTTCACTTTGATCTAGTTCTAGTGTTTTCACCGAACTTGGTGCTTCTTGATATATAGGCTGCGAGAAGGAAAGAGAGAGAAGCAGCAGCTTCCTTTAGCGAAGCTAGGAATGCCCTGTCCAAGGTGACGGGGCCCACATGTATAAACATTGAGGATAAGTATAGGTTCATGATATCCCCTTCGATCATTAGAAGCGAGGGTGCAGCTGACAGTGCTTGGGATGATTAATTCAGGATTCATCTGGTGCCTTTTTAAAGAGCTTTGATGATCCATGCTAAAAAATTCAAGATTTTAAGGTTAGTGTGTGCACAATAGTGTGTTTTTTTCCTAAACATTGCCATTTGCCAAACTGTGTTGATGAAAAGAGATGAATTTGTAGGTGTCGCTTCCGAATTTGGTCGTGCTGAACCCTCACCAAATCTCATTGTGCCTTTTACATCTTTACGTAACTAGTCGTAAAAAGGACAGGTTGTGATTGATCCTAAAAGAGCTAGTGGCATTGCTTATAGATTGTGCATATTGTATAGCTTTAGAATCTTTCTATTGAAAACTTTACGATTTGGGGGCGTAATGCGTCAATGGATACTTGATTTCCATTAATCAAGATTTTATCCTCTGATTCTCAAAACGTCTTTACTTTTTTATTTTTTTCTGTGTAATTTAATTTTCTTTGTTATTTGTTTTGGTGAGTCCAACTGGGGACAGTATTGTAGAAGTTGATGCTTCCTGCAACTTCTCGTTAATACTAGAAACTTATCAACCAAAATAAGAAAAGCATTAAACAAAACCCTATAGAAATTTTAAAGGGGGGAAAAAAAATACCAAACAAGCAAACTCCATTTCTGCGATTAAAAGAACAGTTGAGACAAACCCATATAAACCCCTGAAAGAGAAATATTACTAGCAGGAATAGGTTTGGAAAAAAGTCTAAATCTACGAAAATCCTCATCTAGTTTAATGTTGGAGGATTTCTTTTTATGGCCTGAAGAACCAAGACATAAGTCAACAGTTATTTTGATGTTTTCTACACAAACCAAAGAAATGGCTCAGGATTACTCAATAGTAAACCTGGGCATCTTTGAAACATCAGGTATGGGGAAAAACAATTACATCATTACAGTACCAAGCACCTTACCGGGGCTCGCAGTCGCACCGCAGCACAATCAGAAGTGCAGTTGCATTGCAGCCACAACCTAACTTATGTTGCCAAAACTGGAACTCTATTATGCCCCACGAAAGCCTGTCGCAGTGTGTGATAACTACTCCTGTAATGTTCAAGAGCGAGACACAGCTGCCTTATAGCCTCCCGTTTCTGTTCTGCTACTTCTAGGATTACAATCCTTTGCCTCTCAACTTCTTCCTCCAGATCATTGGCTTTTGATCTTAACTCACCCATTAGTTTACGTGCCTCTTCAGCACCAGCAATTAGCTTCACATGTTCCATGTGTAATTGTTGCAGATGCTTATCCATTTGATCAATCCGGTCATCCCTCGAAGTTACCTCGGCTTTAAGTGCAATAACTTTGTCATTAAGCTCATCATTCTCGGATTTTAAAACATCGAGGCCTTTATCCAATTTTTCTATGCGATTGTCTCGCTCAGCAATGTCTTCCTTTAACTGCTGAATTTCACGATCAAATCTTTCCTCCATTTCTGCCTTTTCAGCCTGGAACATCCTAATGTCATCCTCTAAACAACGAGTACGTGATTCCTGCTCTTTCAGCTGTTCCTCCAAGTATGTCCTCTCTTCTATCAATTTACACATTTCAGCTTTAATCTGTGCTTTTTCTGGAAAAATCTTCTGCTCAGCATCGGAGACTTCCGTTTTAAGATCTCTCACCTCATGATCCCGGTCTGACAAACTACTTTTCAGCCTGGCAATTCTTTCTTGCAGCTTGGAGACCTCCCTTTTTTCCACATTGAGCTTGTTTTTCAACATATTTATCTCCTTGTGGGCCAATGCAAGTTGATCCTGCAAACTATTGATTTTATCTGAGGGTCCATCACCCTCAAGCTGTTTTTTCAAAGTAGTAATTTCTGTCTCTGAAACCTGAAGCCTCTCTTTAGCAATCCTGAGTTCTTCCATTAGTGACTGAATCTTAGCATTGGAGTCAAAAGTTTCAGCTTCGGACCCACCAATGCTTTCTTGAAGATGTGATGCTTGATTTATCTCAGGTTCCAGCTCAGCCTCCCTGATTGTGACCTTGCTCTCAGTTGACGATGCAAACTCATAGTGCAAGCCATCAGCAACTTCAGATGACCTATATTTTTGAAGCTCAATGTTCAATCTAGCAACCTCTTCTTCTGACAGCCGTATTTTCTCATTTGCATTTGCCAGATCTCGCTCATACCCTGCGATTCTAGCAAGAACATCCTCAAAATCATCATTTCTCACTCCCCTAAATGAGCCATCAACACTGTCATCTTGCTGTATCCGTAGCTTTTCTTTAGTTTCACGAAGCTCAATTTCTAAATCAATTATCCTCCTGGACAGCCCTTGGTCACCACCATTCCTAGATAGACCTGAGTAATTGTTGACTGAAGAATCATCAGATTCTGATTCCGAATCTGTTAAAGTGGATGATTCATCTCCTTCTTTCTGGTAATTATCACTACTGCCACCAGAGCCCAGAAAGAAGTCAAAACCAGCAGCTCGAGGGCCAGATTTACGACGGCTTAGTCTTTGTTCACGTGCAGGAGAAGGTGGTTCAGAGACAATGTCAGAAATTCCAGAGCCCTGGGATTGAAGATCTGATGGAATACTCTTCTTTAATTCTCCTGTCACATGATCATAACGCTCAGCCAGAGATCGATACATGCGGTAGAACTCCTCAACATGAGAAATCAGTTCTGGTCTCTTCTGATAATACATCTCAGCCTTTTTAGCAAACGAATCTCCATCATCTTCAATTAGCTTCAGCATCCGCTTAACGCTCTGGTCCATCTCTGCAGTGAAGGATTGTTTTCTCGATTTTATTCTTGGCATTTTGGAAATAAAAATGATCACAGGAACTTACTGTTTAGTGATTAAAAATACAAAGTTTGGAAAAACCTACTCTTCTTTCAAAAACTTGGGGGCTTTGGGATTGACCAAAGCAATCACTTAAGGTATTCCCATATTGGAATCCAACTAAAAAATTCATTTAGGAGCAAATGGCTATAACTGGGAAATATTCTAACCACCATTCTTTTATAGTGAAAAAATAGAGAGGCAGATCCCCAAATATAGGCACCAGACAATATTATAAAGACACGGCATAAACCATGCATATTATTAACCACAAAAGACTACGATTTGTTAACAACGGCTCCTTAACGATATTCTCATTGATCAGGAGAGCAACATCTAGAGAAAAACACCTATTTTTCATAATTTATTGAAAGTCCATTTAACTTCAAAAACCTTCATTTGTCTTGTCTTTGAGAAGCATTATACTTAAACCTGTGATTTAGAAAATGTGGCAAGGCCCCACCATTTGGTTCTCCTTTATAAAATTTCATGCACGTGACATTTCTGCACTACCAACAAAACTTAAAAAAGGAGCAGTGAGAAATTAGTTGCTCACCCTCAAGATTCTCAGTAAGCCACTTGGAATTTTTCGGGCTGATATGACTATCCCACCACCAAGAATGCGATTTTCTCGATTGCAATCTCTTAAAATTCTTAGATGGAACCTGAAACAGGAAGCACATAATAAAGAGCAACAAGTTACAAAACCAACAAATTTTTTATAATGATGAGAAAAATTCAGTTGAACAGAAGGCAAAGGAACTGCATGAAAAAAAAACTGAAGTTGAACATTATCATAAGATAGCATACATAGAGAGTAGAGACTTGTGTAACCGAAATGGTAGCAGTAATGGCATTGGCAGTCGTAGAAGCAGAATAAATTACAGAATTCTAATCATAATATAGAATAATTTTGACATTGTAAAAGCAACTACAATTAATGTCGTACGTAAACTAATAGGAAAAAACATGAATAAGAAACAAGGCACAAATTAAATAAGAAAATCATTTCTTACCACAGAAGAAGCCATTTAGTATGATAGATGAGAAAAATCGCCGGTAAAATCCAATGAATGTAAGAAAATTGATGCTGTATTGTTAACTAACCTGCCACACAATTACAAAGACAACTATCACACGTATTCTTCATGGAGAACAAATCTTACCAACTGAACAAAAAACTGGAAAAACAACAATAATAATAGAACAAGGTCATTTAAAAGACAAAGTTTCCATTGTTTCCATTGCATGAGACAACCATCTACTTGCTAATATGAAGTCAAAAATGCATGTCGTTCCTACAAGAGTCAAAGAAATGGTAGCCAAACTGTCCGTTTATTTATAAAAAGTGGCTTAGGAGTAGCCATTTCCGACACAGACTCCGTCAGCTAATCTGTATGTGTGGGACATATTAACGGTCCAGACAGAATCATGGGCCAGTCGTAACAGGAGCGGCCCACCTACCGAGGCCCAAACATGCCCAATACTGATAAGATCCAAACAGCCCAAAAATGGGTCCACATAGAATGGATTGACATGTCGGTGAAGAGGGTAAGGCCCAAATGAAGGTTGTTGAAGGAAGGAGATGAGACTCACGCGCATGGAAAGCGCGGGTGAGTCGTCCATCTCGAAATAATAATATAATTAATTAATTAAAGCCGCGGGGAACACAACTGTCCAGACAAGAAGTCCAGCTACCTCCACGACTCCTTTGTCTTAAAAAATAAATAAAATCGGTACAATTAAATAATTAAATATTCCATTACACTGACGCCAAAAATACCCCAAATACAAACAAAAATTACCGCTGCTAATAAAGGTTCTACAAGATCAACATGAACTAAATTACAAATGTCAAAACCCAAAATGGTTTTCTTCCTTGTTTTATTTCAGTTAGAAATAAAATGCAAGCAGGCATTTAAAGGGATCAAAATGAAAGCTTTATCTATTTTCTTAAAAATGAAAAGATTGAATCTTCAGAATATCCCATCAAAAAGATTGAATTTTTACTGTTGCAGTTGATTTCAACAACGGAAAAAACAAAATCAGATGCTATAAGAATCAAAAGGGCAACTGGTTTTTTAATTTTAGAAACTGATCATCTTCAAGAAGAGGTCAAATTCAACAATTAATCTAGGAGTAGGCAGAGCAGCAACCACCATAAATCATAACATAAATCAGCTTATACAAAGAAAGAGAAAAAAAAAAAGTAAAACAGCACAAGAAAGAGAGATGAGGATAAGGGAGAGAGCTTACAGAGAGGAGAAGAGGAGAGACCGAGAGGAAAGCAAGAGGCTTTTTTGTTTGTTGCTATCGGAAACGGCAGAGATGGCAAGTAGTGGGGGATGATCAGCTTTAAAAGAAAGAAATGATAGAGACAAATCTGACGAAATAGGTATGTACACTGACAAGAACAACCACAGCCCCACAACTACAAGAGAGAGAGAGAGAGAGAGAGATTTTATATTACAGTGGAGGAAAATGGGAGATAATGGCAACCTTTATAAATCTGATTTCTCACATGGATTTCCGTAAAAGTCAAATCACTTTTGCAACACATGGGATTGAATTTAATTATTAATTAATGCTATTAATTTTTCATAATCAATTAATTTTGAATTCATCATACAAATGTGCCGTCCACTTATCTACTTTCATATATCACTTTTCTTTTTTTTTTTTGTCTCTTCTAGAAAGTGGAGATGCTAATTTAGAAAATTCAGTGTTTTTTTTTTAGTATTATTTTGGAATTAAATTTTGTTTTTGTTATTAGTTTGAAATATAAACTAAAAATTTCATCATTGTGCTTGTAATGTTTTCATTTCCTAAATTTGGTTGGTTTCTTCAGGAGGATATGTTATTTCTTCATTCACCATCCAGTCAATTTTTTTAAAAAAAATTTCTAATATTTATTTTTTCACGTTTATTAGAAAAAGCTCCAATTAAATATATATATTAGAATTCAATTTTCTTGTTAGTTTGAAATATAAATAAAGAATTTCGTGACTGTGCTTGTTGTTTTCATTTTACAAATTTGATTGGTTTTGTCAAAAGTTATGGTGTTTTTTTATCATCAAGTCAATGTCTTCTAACTTTTCTTTATTATTTATTTAAGGTATATCGAATACATTATCCTATTTGATTTTTCATACAAATTAAGAAAACTATCAATTATTATACCATATTATTCCAATAGAGTGGGTTTTAATTTCGAACACTGTAGGAAAATAAATGACTTAATATTCAGAATTAAAAAAAAAAAAAAGAGAAAACATATGTTTTTGGTTCATTTCTCACACATTTTTGTGTGTGTGTGTGTGAATCGTATCTTACAGCCTATAATTAATAAAACGGGAAGAGATGCTTAAAGAATTAACAATTGCTTTTCACACTAATTAGCGTGCAAAGGCTCCAATTATTTACTCATATCTACAGGTGTTTTGAATTGTCGTTAAATATTAGTGGTGATTAAGAGATCTCAAAACATATATATCTGCAAAACGTGCGTCAAGAAGCATGTCGGTCAATTAATTTAGTTAGAAGAAAAGATCTGTAGAGATGTCTCCATGTGGACTGGATGATGAAATGTCGATTATTGCCTTCTACTTAACTTCTAAACCCTAAATTTTTTTGAAAAAGAAAGAAAGAAAGTCAAAAGGCCATTTAGGGTTTGTTTATATATATATACACACACACACATATCTTTCTCTTGGTATCTGTCTCTTCCGAAGCCAGCAACACTTTCTCAGCGATGATTTCTTTGTTATTTTTTTGTTGATGTATGCTATCTGCCATTATTGAAGAACCTAGCTAGCTTGCAGGCCACTCACTTCCCACGACTGCTTCTAATTCTATCTAATTAACTTATAAAATATATATATATATATAATCCTCCATTGCTATGAAACTCTCCGTATCTAGGTTAATTTACTTCTTGCAACTGCCTTTTTTTAATTGCTTATTTTTAGTAATTAAAAGGAAAGAAATAAGTTTTAGTATCTGCTCCAATAACGAATCGTTGGTTTAACGAATAACTAAATAAATAAATACGTATTTATAAATCTTAGCATGTTTTTAATTAGTTATTAAGAAATTACATTTATATGCATGTTATAATTGATAAAAATCTATTAGAATAATTCAATTTTAAATAAAAATAATTGAGGAGTGATCTAATCTGAAATGGAAATTAAAAGTTAAAAAATAATTTTTAAATAACTTAAAATTAAGAAAAGATTTGAACCGTTTCGACATTAAAAAATAATAATACAATACTAATTAATGCTCCATTGCTATCAATTAGATCAGAATTCATTGATTTTAATGAGATGAGATTGCTCAGAATATTATAGAAACCTATTAAATTGAATTTTTTTTTAACTGGAGAAAGGTATATATTTCAAGGACATTATTAATGTGAAAACGAGGTTCATGTATAATATTATTGCGTAAAAGAGCGGGTGTTGGGGCGATGGCTCTTGCATAAATATAAATTGGTTCCAGCCTTTTGAGGATATCACTTTTAATTTTATTTTATTCTCCATTTTAGAATTATTAATTAATTAATGCTAATTAAGTTGTTGAGTATATCAAATGCATTCATATATTCTAGGATAATTAAGAAAAACATATTCTAAATTAAATCAACTTACTGGGATATATATATATATATATGTGTGGACTAGAAGGACTGTTATGGCCATGGAAAAGGAGAATTGCATGCTACAAATCTTTTTTACATTTTAAATAATTTGAGAATCAATTTTTCAAATTTTAATTTTGAATTAGATTTTTTCATTTAAAATTAAATCTTTTTGTTATCAATCATAACGTATAAGTAAAAATTTTTAATAGCTAAAAAAATATCAAATCCTACGAATGTTTTGATTTTTCTATTCAAAAGTTATTTTTTTCTTTGAAATACTAAAACCTAAGCAATTAAAAATATTTTTAAAATTGAAAAAAAAATCAAAGAAAAAAAACAAATTATTTATAAGTTTTTACATATTTTTAGTTATTAGAAAAGTTAAAAAGTCAATTATGAGTAAATTATTTGTATATACTTCTAAGTTAAAATCGATGAAAACCTAATATAAAAAATCTAATTTCAAACAAAAAAAAAATCAATTGAAAAAAAAATCCAAACTCAAAATTAAATAATTTAAAATTCAAAAAAATCAATAATGAATTCCTTTAAGGAAGCTGGAAAGGGCTTGTTTTGCAAGGCAATGGGTACAACGATTAGGCCTCTAATTAAACATGGGTGCTTAATTGTTGTGAACCACCTCCCACTAGTTATATAAATTATAATTGTATTACATTCTCTGGCAGCTCATGCTTCTTACAAGTGCCCATGTTTTCAGCCTTAAATTGTTTTTGCCTCTTTAATTTGCCGCCATCATCATCGTCATCATCATCGATACAGATAGAAATTTCCAAGAAATTATTTATATGTAGTTAGTACTATACCCTAAATATTGGATCTAGCAAAGGAATTAAGGAACTACTCACCAAATGACCCTTAATCTAAGTGATTTTCATTTTCATAATCATTACTACATAACCTTAATTAATTATATATTATTTATATCTTATAATAGATTTCTATAATTTTAAAGAATTGATTTCACGATTAAGAAGTTTTGCTTTATTCTTTAAATAAATTTATAGCATTTGACTTTGCATGGAAAAGTGTAAGTTAATTAATCGTATTACAGCCAATAAATTGTTAATCCATTAGTAAACGAACTGATCCGTAGAGGAATTTTTTATTAATGTGCGAGGTTCGAATTTTGAAATCATTCTTATTGAGAAGAGTTAAACTTTTATCGTTCTTATTTCGAATAGAATTTTTTAAGACATCAATTCATCGTTTTTGTAACAGAACTATTTTGATTTAAAAATTTAAATTGTTAGGTGAGTTTTAACACTTTTTTTAAATGTAAACTTTATGACCATTTGGTTCTTGAATCATAATATTATATTAAAAATCCATTTTAATTTAAAAGATTAAACTATTAAATAACAATTATGAATGATTTTTATATTATTCAAAGATAGTCAGATGTTTCTTCTTTCCTAAAAAATGGGAGCGGTGACCCATATAAGCAAAAGTACAAAAACCAATCACATAATTAATTATGTCATCTCACGCGCAAACATATCCTAACTTAACTAGAACCTCTTCCACAAACTTCATTACAACAAAATAAATAACATTCTTGCAAGACATGATAAAAACTTTCTTACAGGACATGCACGATAAAAACAATAATATTGAAACAATTAAAGTGAAGGAAGTCCAAGAATATCCAAAGCAGTACAAGAGAGCAGCTAGGCGTGAATTTGTAGGGAGAGGAGGTGGGAGCTGGGGTGAAACGGAGGAGCTGGTAGGACTTCCAAAATCTACTGCGACCAGGACCTGTCATGGCTTTCAAAGCTGCTCGATTTGAAGGAGGGAAGGATGCTGTGCTGTTCCACGAGTATATGTTAACACACTGCAAGATCACATATAGGAATGGCAATGGAGCAATATTTCGCCTCCCAGGATGCTGATTCCGATTCTGTCCCTGAAAAACTCCATCCTGTGCCCTGCACGGGGCAATATTTTCCCTCCCATCCCCCTCCCCAAAAGGGACGGGAACCCCATGGGACATCGGTGCTTCGTTTAATTCTTTGTATCCATCCTGTTTCATTTTATCTTATATCAACTTATATCAAATTTTAAATTATAACAAAAAGATAATAGTTCATAAAAAAAATACAATTAAGAAAACAATAATTTAACATCATGTTCAATTATAAGTTCACAACACACTCATAATTTATTAAATTGTTTTCAATCAAATAAATAACATATTTAATTAAGTTGATGAAATATCATAAATGTAATTAAAAAATATAAATCCTTGCATATCTTTAATGTTTAGAGATTATCAAACCTCACTCATTATATTGAAGACTAATTTATAACCTCAGAGTTTATATATATGTTGGATATAATTGGAATGTTTAAAAAAAAGGACAGGGCAAGGCGGGATGGGTTGGGTGGGCAAATACCCGCCTCATCTCCGTTCAAAATCAATGCAGGATGGGACGGGAGTAAACTCGAAGAATCTCCGCATCGAACGAGACAGGAAGGGGTGGAGCCTGTTGGTGCAGGGCAAATTGCCATCCATAATCACATCCTTGAAGCAGTGCAACAAGAAGCAATGATAAAGAGATGGCAACCTTGTCAAGTTTTTGTATTGATGGAGAGTGATCGTAGCCTTTTCGTTGTTCTTCAATCTAATAGCCAAAGTAGCAGCTTCCATTATCTATATGTAACTGAACATTATGTGTATTGAATATATATACTAGCAGTAACAAAAGCTAGTTCAAATTAATTCGAAATAATTCTGATATGGACATTTCAAGATCTAACGGTACGTCTTCTCTTAGTGACAAGAACTTAATTCTCCATTTGGTAATTTCCCACATGTTAATCCAAAAACATATAGTCCTACTATCTCAGTTTTCTCCGCCCCTACGTTGTTCTTTGTTTCTTGGTACTGTCGAAAGATTGCTTCTTATTGTCCGAAGCATATACCAAAAAAACACCATTTATTCCTTAGTTAAGAGTGTCATCATATATTAATTAGTCGGCTATTTAAATGTGTCATCAAGGTTTCTATGACCAGAAGCTGTTTCTCCTCCTCCTCGTCAAGATATGGAAAGCTACAGGGTGATGAGGTTCCTTTGGTTCTGTCTGGGGATTTTTACTCTTCTCCATTGTGTCCAAGCTGAAAGTAATCTTTCTTCCCCTCTTCTTCTTCCTTTAATCTCAACCAATTTGAATATAGCTGAATTTTTTAGTAATTGGTTAACTGTTTTCTGCACGCATAGACAAGTCAGAGCCTCTGAAAAATGTGAATCTAAGTCCATTCTGGCAGTGGAGAAGCGCCTACGAATGCATGCTAAATGTAAAGTATCTCTTATGATCTTCAGCCTTTAATTACATAAATGCATATATGCATAGTTTTAAGTCCTGAAAGGTTGAAAAAATAGTCGCAGTCGTCATCATGGATCGCGGCTGACTATAATACTAAAATAATAGTAACGGCATGCTCCGAAACCGTTATATAACACAATAACCGTCATTTAAAACGATGCATATCTGAACGATGCATATCTGAGTTTGTGTGTACTTATAATTGTGTTTGGAAGCTAGGAATCTCAAAGGTGCTCAGCCAAGGACCAAATAAAACTATCAGGGGCGGTGGTCGTGAACGAAAGTGAGGTGGTTGACTACTGCAAGCCAGGAGGGTGCGTAGAACATGTCTACTATGTGCTTAAATGCATCCATTATGCAAAAAGAGACTTCTGGTTTGCAAACAAGGCTTCTGTCTGGGACCTCAATCGTACTATTTCTCAAGGCTGTGCCACCAAGTCAGGTAAATTGATTAAGCTCTATCTGATCGATATTATACATTTCTGGGCATGGAATTTTAGCTTCTTAATGTGTTGGTTTTGGAATTTCTGCAGGTTTTAATACGACAATGTTCACAAGCAATGGGATAAAGACGTATCAAAATCTATACATGTCCTTGCTCTTATCTTTGGCAACACTGGTTTTCGTTACATTCTTCGGCATGTGATCTGATCTTTTTTGTTTCTTATTGTACAATTCTGCTGGAAAGTGGAAATTATTCTAAATAAAGCACAATAAGCAGGAAGAAGGAATGTAATTGGTACTTAAATAATACTGCTTAATTAGCTCTGAACTCGTAAGATTATATTGTTGTGTTTCTTTTTTTTTTTCGGTTATGTATGAGGTAAATGGAAGATTAGTTTGCTCTTGTTTCAACAATCTGTAGTTATTTCGTGATTTTTTCTCAGTATTTGGAATTGGTAAAAAGCTAAAAGTTTAATATATCAAAAAATCACGAAATTTATATTTTTTTAAGCATTTTGCTTTCAAAAAATTTCAAAATTCACAAACTATAACAACAATACTAACGCATGTGAGTTAATTACTCAAAAGTAACATTTTTAATCAGATATTTTCGTCAAACAGCATCCTGCCTTAATTCTCTAATTAGTACTGGAGAAATTCATGTTACTCCATAAAATAACTATCAACCCATGAAATAATTATCAATAGTTATTCTGTAATTATTCCGCTTTGAAGAAAGAAAAATACAACTAAACACATTTTAAATACTTCCATCCAAACTCAAATAATTTTTGCAATAATCATAAATATTTCCATCTGGACTCAAATAATTTGTGAATAAATTGCATTAAAGGGTAGTGCCACACTCAGTGAAAAGTCGATATATATTCAGTTTGCATCATTAAGCAGCAAATGATTTGGAATCCAAAAACCAGAGAAACAAGGAATTCTCAAAGAATCTGAATTTCAAGTAATGCATAGAGAGTAGATATTCCATGAATGTTCAAATTAAAAATCCAAGCAGACTCATGCACCCAACAACCTCAGCCTTTTTCAGAGCCATTCACAGAAAGCAGGAAATCATCCAAACCACAATATTTCTCTTGAAATATAACGTAAAAACCAGTACATAGTAAATAGGCATCTTAGGAAACATCTGTATTCTTCGAAACTTTACAGCCTTTTAGGAAGCTGGTCAAAATTCAAGTAAACAGTAGATGATGAACACCAAACACAAGATCTATTAGCTAATTCGCACAATTCGAGGCTTCCAAAGGCTTATGTCCCAGCATTTCTACGGCCAACACGAGCAACAAAACCAGCTTTAATTGGAGCAACTGATCTTCCAGAACCACACTGCATAAGTATAACAAGATCAGGAAGGTAAGAACAGAGCAGAAAAAGGAATGAAAATATAAAAACTACAAAGAAGTCAGCAACCTGAAACTGGCATATTCTTTATATGCATGCAAGTAAAGCAGCAAGGAATTCATGGAAAAGAGAATGACTTACAGTAAATGATAAGACGAGATTCGTCTAATCAATCAACAAAAATGCACATACTGATTGACAAAAAGGAGAAAGAAAAAAAAAAGAATGCCAAGCGTATAGAAGAAAGCTTCACAAAAAGCAAGGACCCAATGTTTCCCACAGATATTCCATTTTAAAGGCCATTCCTCCCCAAGAAGGCCTCAGACGGACATCATATGTTTTTTTTTATCACTCAAACACCCAACACGCACACCCAAGGCTCCTAGCAGAAGTAGCCTACTAAGATTTGAACCCATAACCTCTTTGGTCTAAGACGGACATCATACATCTGCCTAAGATGTTGGTAAATCTGGCAATGGAATTCTAATCATCTTAAGTCTCCACTTAGGCAGAGATAAAATTGGATAACCATTAAAGGTACTAACCTAAGTAGTAAAATTTTCTTTCCAAATCAGCATCAACCAACCATTCAATATTTTTGCTTCGTAGTTAATATTATAAGGCAAATGAGACACTCGTGTGGCTTTAAGAACAGAACTATCTAAAATCTGTCATAGGCTAGACAATCTGATAAAGTAGGCACCTTGTAAATCATCGAGAGAAGATTTGACAAATACAAATTAAAATTGTTCCATTGTGTAAAATGATTGTAACAGAAATATCCACCGACAATAACCCACCATATACCACTTTTCAAAGGAACAACGATACTGAAAATAACATCAACAGCACTAGTAATATAAGGCCTCAAATCTACTCCATACATCTTATAATCAATAGATCTAATTGTGTAAGCAAATCATAGATAATGAGTGACATATAAAGAGGACGAAAGATCCCGTGCACACATCATGTCACTTGTGCATGAGCAATCAAAATATTTTTAGCAATCCTTCACATGATGTTGTATTCCTACTTAAAAAAGGAATTACTATTCTATTGAAGGGATTCTAGGCCTAATCCTAGTTGAATTTTGGTTTTTGGTCTTGGTGACAATGTGAACCTCAAACCCCCTATTATGATTCAGAGATTCAGATTTCCATCAATGAGTGCAAATTGGCAACTGAGTAATGGTTTCCCTGACTTCTCTTAAACTTCCCCTTCCTCATTCTACCTAAAATTCTCTCTTAGTTCTTTATCAATAAACATAATACCATGAAGAGACAGAAGGATGATGAGCTGTTACCTTCTCGCATCTGAGAAAGAAGAGACGATTCTCTTTTGACAAAATGGTGTCGGGACTCTTGCAACCGAGGCAAATGACATACTCATCTGAAAATAAAATAGAAAACATCAAATGTGTTAGGCAACAAGAACCTTGTCAAATCAACCTCTTCCTTCTGGACAGCTTAACGTCGAATGAATCGATTGAGAGAAAGTTAGATACTTACTGATATATCGACGTAGGATCCCTTCAAAATTTTTGGGAGCAAATCTCCCCTTAACAACCAACCTCTGTTGTCCGTCAAGGGATCCGCTGGTACCCAACTCAGCAAGTAGGAAAGCCATGACATGGTCAGCCTGCCGATGCATTCTGAAGTTTCCCCAACAAAGAAAATGGAGGGATATAGTTTGCACTCAGTATTTATGTCAAATACAAGAAACAGTGTATTCGAAAAACAAAAAACAAGAAGCTAACCAAAAAGGCAAAAATGAGAGCAGCATTAACTCACGTCTTGCACAGATCCATGAAATTCACAAAAACAGTCTTCTTTGTTCCCTCACGAAGAACTTGTGGAGGCCTCATCACAGTTCTTCGCCTGTCACCAGCAAGCTCAGGATTGTTTTCACGCAGAATGTTGAATACTCGGCCCAGAAGCTGTGAATGACACAACATAAAGAAAACTCATTACTGCACAAGAACATACATACACGATAGAAAATAAGGAACCATAATGTCTCAGCCAAGCAGCTAACCAACACGCGGAGAGCACAGATATAACAGACATTGAAGAGCTATAATAACCGCAATCAAAGAGATTATATGTTTACTCATAACACCATATCAAGATCTTTTAGCCAAACAGTTCACAAACTATAGTTCGGAGAAACCAGAAAAATGCAGTTCTTTGTACAATTGGTGCTGCTACACGTAAATGAAAACTGTACTATACCTCGTCGTACTCATAATCACGATCAGTCCCATCCCAAGGGAATCGTTGCTGCTGAAGATCAGCACCCTCTCCATTTTCCTCCTCACCAGCATGATCTAGAAAACCAAGAAATAGGTATCCCTCAGAATCAAAACAACACATTCAATATAAATTAAGTGAAGAGGCAAATTTAAAAGAGAAGTTCCTTACCATTCAAATCTTCTCCAGCATCCCCAGTTTCCTCATCTAGCAAATTGGTTTCAACCTAAAATATAAGACCACGTATCAAGCCAAGATTCACAACATTTAAATCAAAACGAAAGCCATGAATCCTAAAGTGCACACGAACTTACAGGTTTCTTCTTCTTCTTTTTCAAACCAGTAAAAGAACCCTCAAGGCCATCAGAGACTGTAACCAACAAAAAAAAAAGAAGAAAATTTTCCGAAAAAAAAAAAGTAATTAGACATCTTATCACACACCTATTCAATAACAACTATATAGTAAAGTAAACAAAACAAGAATAAAAAACACTTTAAATTACCTGTCAATGATTCAGTCTTCTCAGCTAGGGAATCTACAGACTCATCAGCATTCTCTTGTATCACCACTTTCTTCTTCTTCTTCTTTTTTGTAGGATCAAAAGGGGCAAGCTACAGCGAGAGAAAGAAGAGATTCTTTGTTACTAATATACTAGAGGTTTCCAAGCTAATCATAACTCAGTAACCATGCCAACAACAACCCACCCCCTAACATCTTATTACACAAAAAGGCTCGCACTCGCATGAGGTAGAAAGAAAAAAAGTAAATAAATTGGAAACTGAACAAATTTACATCTGTTAAAAGTAAGCAATCCATTTCATCCCAAAAAAACATGCTCACAAGCACAAATTACCAAGCCGCATCGTTAACGTTAGGAATAGCATCAATTAACTCTTTATCAAACAGAAGAAACGCAAGAAGACAGACTCTTTTGCCATCTTCAAATCCCTATTTTCAATATTTTCATCATGAAATGAATATATATATATATATATATAGTGCTTAAGAATCATAGTTAATCAAAGAAAAACGTTTTTTAAGAAAAAGGACTGACCTCTGCCACCTCTTCCTTGACGTCAATATTATCGTCCGCCATGATTGCTGCTGCCAAAAACAAGCGTGAATCAAAATCAAAGATCGAAACTCTACGAAATGAAGACAAAACCCTAACTTTGACACCCGACATGTGAAAACCCTAAGACAGAAAACAATAGGATTAGAATTGAATAAACCCTAGGTAGAGAGCTCACCTTTCTGTTCTTCTGTGTCTGCTGTTAATGCTGCTGCTGCTGCTGCTGCAGTGAGAGAATTAGCGATTGCTTGCGTTTCTTCCTTTCTTCTGTTTTGGTATCGCTTTGGGCTTTTGTCTGCGTTTCAAGAAAGCAGGGATATTTATTCACATTTTCTGGGCCTGAACTAAAAGTTCCGTGTCGGTTAGAAACTGACTTAACTCCAGTGTGAATGCCAGCACATTGTCTGGCCCACATTCCTTAAATGGGTTTCCTTAATTGTGGGCTTAATCAAATAAGGCTTTTTCCATGTGGAATCAAAACCTGCATTGGGCTTACTCAAGGATTGACGTCACCTTCTTCTTTTGAGTGAGTACTTGAAAGATTTTTTTTGTAACGAGAGAGTTAATTTATTTGTTTCTTATTTTTCTTACAGCAAGGATATCTTTGGATCAACTTATTTTTGAATGAAAATTAATTTTTTTTTTCTATTGATCCAACATATTTAGATGAATTTGATAAATTCTCAGTCACTGACTTTGAATTTAGAAAATCACAAAAGTGAGTAAACATATTTAACCATCAAACAAACTCCTTATAAGCAATAAATCATTCTTGAAATAGCTTTTTTTATATAAAAATTAATTATTTTTTTTAGGTTATCTGTTATTTAGACTATAGTGTTTATAGTAAAATTGGTTTTTTACGCACTATAGTGAATTAATATACAAAAGATGGGGATAAAAAAATTGACACGTATACCTTTTGATTTATGCATGTAATGAAATCATGATAATTTTGTACTTGTGACAAAGTTAAATGTACGTATAGATTAAACCATTGAAAGTTGACAATTTCGTAAAACCAATAGAATTGGATTATTGAATCAGACTGGACCAAAACTATTGTTTTGATGAATAAAAATGTTTCTGCTAACCATTAGCATTTTCATAGTATTTTTAATTTCGTTGATATTTTAATTAATTGAGAAGGAAATACAACGGCAAATGTTTTAGTCACGAGTAGTCTCTATAGAGAAAACGAATCAATTACTTGGCTATGATTTCATTTTTCTCTAAACCTTTTTTTTTTTTTATGTCTCAATTTTGTAATTTTATTCGTTATTGACTGACTACCTTCTATTTTATATAATATATATATAAATATAAAGTATGACTATCATTTAAAGTTTTTCTTTTTAAGAAAAAAAAAAATTCGTGTCTAGCTAATCCATCCGATGGCTTAGGAGGAAAGCCACAAACGTATTAGGAATTAATATTCAAAGGCCTGTTCTTGTCCATGCATGAAAATTTTACTATATACGTAATGACCCGTCTTTGAAGGTTGTTTGAATAATGGAGCCGTATTCATAAATGGGGCAATGAGATGGGCGCAACATCATTGAAAGCAACATTGATGGAACTCGTTCCTTTACCATTTCAATGAACAAAAGTTTGGAAGCTGAGAAGTTTCCAAGAAACTGGACAAATGGGACTTCCTGTACGTTTTATCTTGGTCAAACCATGATGTTTTACTTTGTTTTTATGCACTTTTCCCCTACAACAATTCACCACGAATCTGGCTTTATAATTGGCCCTTTGAACCTTTCTCTCAAAATCTCTGTTTTCTTTTCTTTTCATTTCTTTTTCTCTTACTTGTCTAAGAAAGAATAGAGGTGGACTCTGGCTAGTCTTTGCTTGGTCAAAAAATAAAAAAAGAAGAAGACGAAGACGAAGGATGCGGCCAACTTGGTTTTGTTAATCAATTGTATCGTAATCCAGCGTGGTAGGGAAAAGCCAGCTCCTGTTTCGAAGAACTTTCCTCCTCTTGTGCTATTTTGCTGGGGTCCCAAGTGTTACAAATTAACATTTAAACTAGAAAACTTGTGACTTGTGGTCAACCTCTTTATTTTTTTGCAAATATTAGTTTATCATAGCAATGGAAGAATTTAAATTAATGGGATTATTATATTTCTTGGTATTTTTCTTGTATTTCACTCAGCTGGTATTGCCCAAGTAGTTGCATGTCGCTATTCTTATCCAAATTCAAGGAATCTCACTGTAATTTGCAACCAAATGATCGTGCAAAATCTAAACTGGTTTTGGTTTTGCTTAGAAATTACTGCTACCATTATTTAACTAATAATTATTAGTACATTTATGATATCAATTATCATTACTATTGTTTTAGTATTACGATAAAATGTTATTTATAATTATGATTGTGGCTGTTTTTATAACCTATCTACAATTTAGAACTAAGAACATTTATGTAAGAAAACAATCATTTAATTCTCAAGTTCTAGACACGAAAGCTGATAGGAAAGCAAACCACCATGTTGTATGTCTGTACGTACCATAACGTCATAAATAGTTCAAATTCTGACAATCCAAATGTAATAATGTCGAAAGATTTCTGTATTATTTCCTTAATTTTCAGCCGATTAGAACTTGGGATGGTAATGCGACGGAGTGAGGATGAGAATGGCGATCTTCATCCTCACCTCATATCTGGAAAAAAATTTTTGTCTCTGCCCCATGTCTCGAATGGGATAAAATTTTTCATATCATCCCAGCTCCAAACAGGTACGTAAATACTCGAGGGGCAAACTGGGCATAAACAGGATAAATTTTTATTCTTTTTTAATTTTCGTCTTATTTTATCCAATTCTACTATTAAATTTTAAATTATATAAAAAAATGATAATTTATATAGAAAATAAACTCTAAAAGTCACTAATTATAGATTTTATATAAGATATAATTTTAATTTTAATTAAAAAAAAAAAAGAAATGGGATAAACGAGATGGGGCGAGGCAACGTTCCTTGGTCAACGCGGGGAATCCCCGTGTTGATCGGGGAAAATTGATGCGGGCGGGGCGGGGTAAATTGCCATCCCTACCCGGAACTTGACCAATATCGATTTTATTAATTTAATTTTTTTATTTTATTCATTAAAAAATATTTTATTTATTATTTATTAAAAAAATACTATATAAATTTTTATTCAATCCATGTTAATTTATCCTTTATCTGTCCATTTAATACCATTAAATTTAATTTGTCAATAATATTTATTTTAGTCCCTATAATTTTAAAAAAAAATTCTGTTCTTAAAATTTTATTTTATTTTTTTGCATTTTGTTGATTTATTTATAAGCTTTTTTAGGTCTCCAATATTTTTAGAAAAATATTTTAATCTTTAATTTTTAAATTTTATGCAACTAAATTTTTATATGTTAATAAAAAAATCTAAATACATCAATGGATATTAATAAGGTAAAAAATAAATATCTATATTCTAAAACTGTATTAGTAAATATGTATATTCTCATCTTTATTTATTTTAATGTTCATTAAATATTTTTAATAAATATTTATTTAATTAAATAAAATAAATATCTGTTTTATATTCTATTCGTTTACATCCTTACTTGATCATTTGCAGTATGCTTCTGTCGGAGCTTTTATGATCGGTACATGGTACCGTGGTCTTGAGTTGCAAAATTTGGTGGGAAGGACAGAGGCTTTTTATTTTTCATAGCCAGAGAACGGGGCCCAGAAAACTGGAGCTATTATGTACGGGAACGTTGAAGACAAGTCACAGATGTGTGAGGGACGGCCATGGTGTAATCCAACACGTCTCTCTAACAGAACCCGTTCTATGGTTTCCAACGTTTTTTTTTTACAAAGTTAATAACAATTGATTTTTGATTAATGATAATTGTCAAATCAAATAAAAATATAAGATTTGTCCAAAACACAATAATTGAAGGATAAATTGACCAAACTGATAACGCAGACCCAATTTGCCACAATCTCAATGACTTAATGGCAAAAAATGCCGATAAATCTATAAACCTAGATACCCTAAATTATAAATTGAGCTTTATGCATATGGAAATTTTATATGATTCGAATTTTTTTTAATTGAAATTTTAAATTTTTTTATCCAATTTAAGAATTTTACTCTTAAATTATTGTTGTTTGAGATTTTAACCAATGATAACTTGACACATGTGCATTCTAATCGATGACAATTTACCATATCACCAATTCAATCATCCAATTTGGATCCATCATTAAATGTGATAAGTTGTCATTGGCTAGAGCAGAGTATGTCACGTGTGCTTATGTGACACATTAGACTCTAAAATAACAATATAAGAACAGAACTCTTAAATTAAAAAGAAAAAAATTTAGAATCTAAATAAAAAATAAAATTGAACTACAAAGAATCTCATATGTGCAAAACCCACTATAAATTGATGATTTGATTGATAGTTGTTGGATTATTATTATTGTTATTATTATAACTACTGAACTATTTTGTGTTAATTTTGATTTACATCCATTCTATTACGTATAATCAATTTTTCCGTTAGATAGTATATATTTCCTCCTAAAAAAAAAAAAAGGCCATAAAGAGGTAGAAAGTTAATCTCCATTAGTATTATGATAAAAAAAATACTAATAATATTATAAAATTATCATTAAAAAATTAATTCTAATCAAATTAGTGACTTTTTCAGTATTTTTTTAAAAAAAAAGAAAATGAGTGACTTGTACATTATGTTTAATGACTAAATTAGATGAAAAATAACAAAAATAACGTTAAAATCATTCAAAAATAAAAGGAGTAACAATAATTAAGAAGGTGTCTATTAAAATGATATATATTTTTGTGATTTAGCCTTCAGCTGGAAACATTGCATGCTATATATATATATATATAATTTTGATGCATTCAGCTCAAACATGACATCAATCCCCACTCCTAGCTAACAAGGATAGCAATAGCAGATGGCGGCCACGATTATTTTGTCCCCTTCATAAATATCTCCAAGGTGACGATCATCACGATGTGCTACCGTTATATATGACATTTCTCTATGTTTTGAGCTTATCCTATAAATATATATTGTTATCGAAAAACCAATCAAGGCCTTGAGAGTTGAAGTAAATTATAAATTAGTCCTTCTAGTTTTGAAATTAATTCTTCTTGTTTCAAAAACTAATCACTTAATTTTTAGTCTAGTTTTAATCGTATTTAATTTAATATTATTTTATTATTTAAAAAATATTATATTTTCTCAATAATCTTTCATGTATTTTTTTATTTTTTCTATTTCATAAAACAAAAAATCAAAATGAACTAAAAAAAAAAGGATTAAGTTATACAAAAAATTAAAAATAAAAGACCATCCAATTAATTTTTAAAACAAAAGAGACTAATCAATTTATTTTTTAAAACTAAAGACACTAATTTATAATTTACTCTTGACAGCTGAGACAGCACATACACACGTAGGAGCTACCGAGCTAGCATTATGGATAAACCTTTTGTTCCATGAAAATAGGTATGAAAGAAGGTTGATCCTATACACCCGCATTATACTTTCCATATATATATATATATATATATATATATATATATTATTTAAAGAAATTAAAATACACTCATGTTGAAGCTAAAATTTAAAATATTTACCAGTGAAAGAATTTGAAACATATAGATCATTTTAATTTCTAAATGTTATAATAAAATTGACTTTGAGTTTTCTTTTTTCTCAAAAATTCAAAAAAAATAAAGTACTATTTTAAATATATTTTATAATGTCATGTCACATTTACCATTGTTGCAATCACAAAAAATGTCTCAATGTTAAGAGTTTTAGACTTTTAACAAGGAGGTTTAAGATTCGAATCTTGTTTTCTACCTCTATTTATTGCCACTACAAAGTTTAGCTTTACTTCTTCCATTTCAAAAGTCTGAGGGGTTTGAAATTTCTAATTTAAAATCAATTCATACCAAAAAAAAAAAAAATGGTTGACGAATGATTCCGAATAATAAAGAAAAAATATTTATCATTGTTGTGTGTATTTAATAGTTAGCATGGTATTTTGCATAGATGTTATTTGAATTCATGCCGGTTAATATATGTCACAGTTGTCACTATAAAGGGATATGCATGCCTCTACAGTGAGATGAAAAAATCTCTTAAACATGTATAACAAGAAGAATAGTTTGAAATGTAACTATAAGAGCATTTACAATACTCTCTTTATATTAAGATTTTTCTTTATAATAAAGAGGTTTGATTCAAATTTCATCTCCAGGTGTTCTCTTTATCACAATCTCTATCTTTAAAATTGATATAGAGAGTGTCTTTGGCTCTCCAATACTAAAGAGTCCAATTGACTCTTTATCTTATATTTCATTAATGAAAATTACTATTTCTTATGCCATTTAACCTATTCATCAATAGGCTCTCGAGTTTTATAGATTTTATCAAAATAAAGAGTTAAGTAGAGAGTATCATTAAAGAGAATATTAATCTTCAATCTATATAATTAATGATACTTTCTATTTACGTTAAAAATGCTAGCTAAAAGTAGAGAGCATCATTGGAGATGCTCTAACAAGTCTAGTTATCAAGAAACAGCCATTAAAATTCAATTTAATAACAATCTTAGTCATAAAACACAAAGATGTAACAAAGGGACCAAACAAGACTCTCCTCAATTAATTACTAATTAAGCAATCTAGTCTGATATCGAATGGAAGCTAATCCTTATCCAGTAGATATGGCTTGGCAATATAGTCAAAACACGTGCTTGGATTTAAAATCCAAATTTAACTGTAGGAGAAATGAATTGATTGTCTTAACTCTCTTGAAATAATGGAGGGTTGCGTGTAAAGTGAAGTGGATGTTTGGATATAGTGGATGTTTTTAATTTTGGAACACACAATCTTCAGCATGTGAAGAAATTAAAAAAAAAACAAAAAACAAAACAAAAAGCAGAAACAAATATCTTACCACATATCCCATTTTTGATGTGATTGATCAATTTATAAGAATTCATGTCTTGCTTGCTTATGATAAGATCGTTTTAATGGAGGGTTTTTTTTTTTTTTTTTTTTTAAGAATTTATAGATTAATTCAGTCTGATGCATTTTTTTTATTTATATATAGTGAAGTATTTTTAGATCAATTTTTAAATCAATTAAAATAAAAAATATTATTTTTTTGAAGAATTATTTTTAACATTTGATCGATTTTATGGACTAAATTTTTAAAATTCAACACCACCCTACATCTAATGCAAAAAACAACAACAACAACCTTAGATATAGGTTTTTTTTTTTTTTTTTTGTTTTAAGAGAAGCAATAAAGTGTGTAACCGAGGTTGATTATTGTGTCGGTAGGTGCATAGGACGATTTTAGATTCTCTCCATTTTTGGCAGCCAAGTGAGCAGTGATTTTTTGAGTATTTGGATATATAATAATCTACGAGGGAAAAATAAGCATAATTTTTTTGTTAAGACAAGACTCAATGCAGCCAGTAATCATTGGATGTGAGATTGTTACCTAAGTGATTAAGAAAATCCAGTCCGTGCACGATGATTTGCTCGATCAGGGTGAATTGAATTTCCGGCCATGACCAGATCAAAGATCCACTGATCATCAGCAGTCATGGCCATGAAAAGAGCTCCAAGAAGGCCGAAATTACTACAGAAGTGGTTCAAAACTCCTGAAAGTCAATCGTTCGAAAAGAAATCATCGAGGAAGATGCATGTATCTGTGAATAGATTCATTTTGCAACTTGTACCAACGCTGACCAAATTATTGGACAAGTAGTGGGGTTTCGCCACTTCCCATGCCTCTTTAATTATATATATATATACTACGATCTACATAATACTGTATTCTTGCAAAATGGACCCATTTCTATAATAGTATCACATATTCTATAAAAATTTCAAAGATACACGTGGTTAGTAGTGATCATTATGTTTTTCGGTTTTAGATTTTTCGATTTTTAGTTAACCGAATTAACTAAAATAAAATCGAAACCAAATCAAATTGAGATTCGGTTTTTTGATTAAAAAATCAAATTTTCCAATTCGATTTTTTATTTTTCGATTAAAAATTATTATTTTTACATCTTTTTTTCTGAATTTTGAATTTTTTCTTGAATCGAGCTGAAAAACTATTTTTTTTATAATTTTTTTCGATTTTCAAGGAATGCTAATAGCTGGAATTGAAGTTTTAGCAAAAAAAATCATAGAAATATGCTATGAGCCTCGGGGGTATATGTTAAAAAAAAAAAACTAATTCGATTTTCAAAAGAAATCGAATTTTAAAAAAACAACTAAACCGAAATAATTTCGATTTTTGGTTTGGGTTTTTTTCAAATTTTTTGTACAAAATTAAACCGAAATTGCTAATTTGATTCAGTTCGGTTTGATTTTTCGATTTTTACTGAATAGTGCTTACCCCTACATATGATATCTTTATTTATTTATTTTATGTTTACGAGTAATGAGATATTTTTAAATTAATTTTTGCACAAGTCAAGATTAAATTCACTACTATCTAAATCATATCAATTTTGAATCACGTTTAATATTTATTTGATTTTAAAAACTAAACGTTTTTTTAACCATGTTCAGTGTTATATAAAGGGGAAAAAATATAATTTTTCAATAATAAAAATGGAATTCTTGATCTATTGAATAAGGAACATTCTTCTTATCATTCTATTTATAACTTCAATAATATATTAATAAGCGGTTCATTCCAAGATATTCTAAATATAAGTTAAAAATACAAGCATAATACTATAAACAATTATTTATATTTTAATTTTGGAGTCAACACCAAAAAAAGTTATTCCGAAATATATATAAAATGGGGATAGTGGAAGGCGGCATGGCGATTGCCATTTGTTTAGGGACTAGCTTTTGTTGCTTTCGAATCGGTTTGGTCACCAACCATAGGACCTACAAAATCTCTTCTGCTTTATTTTTTCATCACTCCAAATTAGTTTAAGACTCTCTCCTTGACTTTCCCTCAGCCTCAGCATTTACTCCTATGATTAATTGCAATTTATTTGCAGCCGCCGGTACACGGTGGAATAGCTAGTGATGCTCCTATTTTTCAAGCTCGAATCCAATAACATTGTCTGGTCTATACTGAACGTGGACGAGACAGGTGGACCCTTTATCATTATTTGCCGCTAACTACCGGCTTGTGGTGGGGCTACGGCGCCCCCACCACTAACCTCCTCTCTAGGTCTAACTACTATTACGTGGATCATGGCCAATTCTAGTTGCTGTAAATGGTTGACTCTTGATCCCCAAGTTACTGCATGCATTCGAGGGCACAGTTTTGGGATCCTTGGACCAACAATGGACATCTTGGAGAACTGTCGGGGCCGGGACTATACAAAGAACTTACCACCTAGGTTTTTGCTCAACAATAATTTTCTCTATGTTCCGAAAGATTTATCTGTTTTTTATTTTTATATTTTTTTTACTAATCAAATTTTTAAATAATCTTAATTAAAAGTTTATTTTACAAAATATCATTCAAATATAATTAAAATAAATAAATAGATAATAGTGGTATGATATAATAATTAAGAATTTTTTTTTAATTTCTATAAAAAGCAAAAAAAAAAAAAAAACTTAAACAGAAAAAATAAGTTATCTTTCTTATGCTAGCTACCACAATCCTTTTTGCATGCAAGATATATATATATATATATATATATATATATATATATATATATATATATATAGGATGAATTCCAACCAAAATTCTGCTTTGTGACCACATGAAAACTTATTGAATAATGTTTGTGTAACAAAAATATAATCTTCCCAAGGTATCTTTTATTTATGAAACGAGTACATTTCAAATAATTATGCAATCAATTTGACCCAATTACCATTTGAATGTGGATTCAAAAGCCTATGTCAGTAGAGGCACTCGTGTATTTATTACATTGCGATTAGTGGACAAGGTCGAGGTTAATTAATTGCTAACTGGCCTCTATATGAAAAGAATTTTTTTTTTTTTTTTTTTTGGAATTCCAAATGTTGAATTTAATGTATGACATTCTATCGCAAAGGAAAAAAAAATTCATAGGAAACACAGATATTTTTGTCGACAAATAAATAGCAAGGGAATAAAACGAAGAGGGGGAAAAAACACAATGATAAGGTTGCAATTATTCATATTCAACTAAACAGAGCATAATGCATTTTATTTTACCTTCCTCGAAGAAAGGTCATGTAGATCCATAATCATGTCATTTCAAAGAAAGGAAAAAAAAAAAAAAAAAATAAATAAATATATATATATATATATAGCACATTATCAAGAAGTATTGGTGTTAAAAAAAAAAAAAAAGATGCACATTCTTTGCGATGATTAATTAAATTAAAGATATATTGTGGTTAATAATAATCTCCCCGAATATCTTTTCTTGCCTTTTCATAATTGTCATCTTCAACGACTTAAAAGTGGCTTTAGGGAATGTATGTCTCTACTCTTCCCAATTAATATCGTGCTTAACCCTTTCCCTGTCATCGATTTACTTGGGAAAATTAATTATTTCGGTTTGATTATTTTGCGATGGTGATGGAAGTCAAAAGTGACAAACAAATCATAATGATTTAATTTTATCACAAATGGCTGATCATTATCACTAGTTAATTATTTATTGTATTAATTTGTTTGTATAAAGATTATTTTTTGTGATCTTCTCTGCAGAAATCAATATAGTATATGTTTTTGGACATAAATCTTAATATTTATAAATAATTTTTTTAATTTAAAAATTTAAATCGTTAAGTGAAATTATTATTATTTTGTATTGAAATTTAATTTAATTTAAAAAATTAAAAAAAAACAAGTTTCGAGATCGCATAAAAACTTTAAAATATTAATAAGATTTCATAATATGATTTATATATTATTACTGTTTTCTTCCTTTGAATACTTTCTAAATACACTTTCGAGCTCGTATGCAGTACGGCTAATACGAATGAAATGAAATATCCTTACTGTGTTCTGCTAAAAACAACCATATCTTTCTTTTTTCCCATCAAGAAAAACCTGAAATTAGCTTTCTTTTTATTATTATTATTTTGGCTACATGTCTTGCAGCATCCGTTAGGAAAAGCAACGCAAGCAACTTGGAGATTGATAATTCTATATGGAGCCCATAAAATCCGACAAAACCACACCTCATGAAGTGACGAATTCATTTTTGTTTCAGACATCACGGGGCTTCAATCTTCAAAACGTGTCCAATGTTGAAACTTCCAAGCATACCATTATCAGTCGTTCTTACAAAACTAATGTATGTCACTATATATTAAACAGTTCTAACAAGCGGACAAGAAGTTGGAAGAAAAAGGAGAAACAAGAAGATTCATTCAAAGTTCAACGTACCAAGAGTTTAAAATCACACACCCTAAATTCTTCAAAATTAACTACAATTTAAGCTAGGCCATTAAAAATCATAATGATTGAATCAAATCTTCCTTGCTTTGCAACGTTTGCCGTGATATCCAAGTAATCCAAGCACTAATCTTTTCATTACCACCAAAAAAGGCAAGAGAAATATAGAAAACCCAATATAATTTCAGAAGTAATACATACATACACTCAATTCAACCCAAAAAAAAAAAAAAAATTGATTAGCAATTCCATAAAAAAAAAAAGTTGATAGGAAGAATTAGTTTTTTTTTAAAAAAAAATTGTATTTAGATATTATAAATTAAGAAGTCTTCGAGTTATACAACGATAATTACTCTTTATTTTTTTTATTATAATATAATTGAAAAAATTATAGTCCTTGAAAATCAAATATATTTTCATCAAAAGAGTTATCGGATATACAATTGCTAGATTTCACCGTCAAAAACATAAATGAAAAGTGTAGCATAACAACAACCGAACTGTAATTAATCGAATAATATGAATACTAATTAATATTGAAATGGAGTACACAAAAATCCTTAATAATACCAACAAGTGACAAAATGGCCATACAATTTGCTAAATATGGACTAATTAATACTCTACTTTATACTTACACTCCGTAGTTTGACAAATCAAAACCAAAAACATCAAAACTTAGGGACACTTTAGGTATTCCAACTCTATTTTAGGCGCAATTTCTATCCACTTTAGCGCCTTTAATCACGAATCATAAGATGCCACATCAGGATTGGGCAGTCTCAATTTACATAGCAATCCCTAGACTTCCACAAAATTGACTTTTTAAGACACATTTGAGGATATTTTTAACAAATGCCATCCACCAAGAAATCATCGAGGTCAACGAATTCTTCCTCGTCAAAGAATTTCCCCGACAACATAAAATCCGGCAGATTTAACGGCACGTCAATTTCGAACCCAAAAGCGTCAACGTCACCGTAACCAAAACTATCAAACGGCGTTAACTCTTCGTAATGGAGAACAGACGTCGGTGATGACATAACTTTAACACCGCTTAACGGCGACTCGCATGGCTCTGGCTTACCGTCAACAACCTTGGGAGCCTTCTCCGTCGAAACAGGGTCAAAAGGTTTCACCTCTTCATAACGGAGGACTGACGTGGGTGATGAGATAGCGTCAAGACCACTGCTGGACGGCGAGTCACAGGACTCGCACTGGACGTAGCTTGGACCGTTAACGTTAGCTGTCTCCGTTATAACGGAGTTAGCAGGAAAATTGGTAACGGCGTCAGGCCCTCTAAGTTTCACTGCAGCTCGATCATAGACGGTGGCAGCTTCCTCTGCAGTGTTAAAAGTGCCAAGCCAGACCCGTTTCCGTCGGGTCGGGTCACGGATCTCGGCAGCCCACTTTCCCCAGGGTCTCTGACGGACACCCTTGAACTTTTTCCGGCGAGTGACGTCAGATACAGGTAATCTTGAGGAAGGTCTTTTTCTTCTTCGTTCTTGTTGATCATCATTCGAAGTTCTGGAAGAAGGAGCTGCTGGTGCTATTGTTTCTTGCTCTGACAAGCTTATTTCAGTCACTTGTCTCTTCACTCTCTGGATAAACTTCCTCTCTCGTCCTTCTTCTTCATCGCTGGAGGAATCAGTGGCATAAGGGTCGGTATGGATGATTCTAACAAGTCTCTGGCGAGTTGTTGAACATGGATGTAGCTGCTGCTTCTTGACGAGCTTACTAGTGGTGAATACATGTTCAGTGAATTTGACTTTTGGTTGTACGGACATGGTGGGGCTGGAGATCAACATGGGTTGTAATTCAGTATGGGACAGAAGACGGAAGGCCGGTGGTACTAAGGGATGGTTTTCGTGTTAAAGAAGTGGGTCAAGACATTGAGGTAAAACCATGTATTGACCAACTCGGGTTGGGTCTAGCTTGCTTAATTTGTTTGGGCGATCAAGATGAAGATTTTTATTGGTTTCTTGGAGAAAAAACCGAAGAAGGAGAGTGAAGGAATCTACTTTATTCTACGCTTAATTGGATCTTAAGAGCTGGAGAGCATCATATACAGCAGTGACGGGTATGTAGACAAAAAGAGGGAAGCTATAGCCAGCTTTGTGGAGTTGGGAGAAGGTGACAAAGTGACACCAGCAGCATCTGGGCTGATCAAGAGGTTAGCTAGCCTGAAACTGCAAAGGGTGTTGAGCTTTTGGCGGGAAACTAGAAAAAGACTCGTGCTTTGCTGCAGGTTCATTAATCTTCACTCACTGTGTGGGTGTGAGAGAGAGACAGAGGGAGAGAGACTAATGAGTTGATGAAAAGAAGGGGTTTGGGAGAGGGATCTAAGTAAATGAAATGGAGTAAGAAATGGGAAAGTGCGCGTGTATGTATAGATATAGATATATATATATATATATATATATATATAGTGCACGGACTGACACTTGAATTTCTACTAGCTACAGCGTGGCTTAGATGCAATGTTCCCTATTTTAGTCGTGGAGGTGGGGAAAGAGGTCATGTCAGATTGGAAAGAGGAGCTACATGGCACAAAGCAGCAGCTCAGTACTGCTTCCAGCTGCCTCTCTTTGACGTTTCAAAACTCAAAAAGGCCCATCTTCCTTGCACGTCAATTTCTTTGAACTAACCCAACCCACCCGATTTTCTCTCTTTCACAGCGTGGAAATAGTTTCAGCGTAATTTATCAATTCATCTTTGCTTTCTGGTGGCAGTCTTTCTCAGGGAAGTTTCCATACTGTTCATAAAAAGATACGAGCATTAGCTAGGTATTGTTTTATTTCTGTTAGCTCCAAATCCAAGAAAGAAGTTGAATATCCATTCTCTTTTGAATTCAATGGAATTAAAAAGCAATAAATTATTCATGATTTTCAAGAAAGTAAATTGGAAGAAATTAGTGTATTGGTTAACAAGTGATTCGTGTGTGTGTAAAGGTTTGGACTTGCAAAATGGACTAGCTAGGCTACCATTCTGCGCCAAATGTTGCAATTTGGAGGGTGAAAGAAAGGTTGCACCTTTCCATCTTCCCTGGTTGAAAATCAGATAAATCTGTGCAGACATGTTTATTTGGGAGAGGTGACTTTAATGTTTGTAAATCCAAACACATATGAGTAGTAATTTTCTTTATACTCACAGCAATTGATGGATCGCAGTGCAGTAGATAGTGTAATTAATTGAGCGCGTCATAGTACAGTACTCGTACACTAGATCTGGGGATGACAATGGGGCAGGACAGGGATAACCATCTCCGTCCTCGTCCCGTCTCAAAAAAATTTATCCTATTCCTACCTCGTGTTTCGTTTGAGGTAAAAATTTGATTACCATTCCTATCCTAAACGGGTTGGAACGAGATCTCATTAAATTGTTATTTTTAAAGGTAAAATAGCAGAACGAGAGTAGAGATAGTCACCCCATCCTTGTCCCGTCAAAAAAAAATTTATCTTATTTCTGTTCTGTATCTCATTCAGAGTGAAATTTTGATTATCATTTTCGTTTCGAACGAGACTTGGACAAATTACTATCCCTAACTAGATCTACATGAAACTGAGCCGACAATTCCATAACCAGAACACAGCAGTGTTCAACGTGATTGAATTATAACCTGGTTTCTGTTTGCTTTTAGACTTTACTGTCTTCCTCGTGCTTTTGAATCGGATTATGTAAAAACAATTAGCATCCATGCCCAGCTATGGATATTATAAATTCATTAATAATTATTAATAAATTTATTTTAAAATAAAAAGTATTTGATTTTAAATAATAATATGACCATCGTTATTTGAATTATTTTTTTTAAAAAAAACATCAACATTGTTATTATTATTTAACTATCCTTATCTAGCTAGCTTTAATTTTTTTCAACAAAATATAATTTTAAAATTCAAACTTTACATATTAATAAAAAAATATATTCGAAAATCAGTTGGTTTACTATTAATACAACAACGTATTAGTCAAGGATATCTCTTTTTAATTAGCCGGCCAGCTAGCTTTCGAAGGTTACTTCATGTTCATCATTAATAACTGAACCGACCTCCTTTGTAGCATTAACAATAATCACAAAAGAAGAGGGATTCATAAAGTTGGATTAAAGAAGAATTATACAATAAATAAATGCATGCGTTGCAATTTCAAAGAAAAATCACATCCACTCTATTGATTTAAGACTTTTTTGCTTGGAGCATATTACTCCACAAGCCATAAACAACTACTTATCAAAAGATACCTACCGATCCACGTTTTTGTGCGTTGAATAAAGCGATGATTTAATCTTAATTAATACATAAATTAATATCGTTGTTATGTTTTCTTTTATTTGAAAATAGCAGATATTTTAGAATTTATGTATGCATTAACAAAAATTAAATCTTTTTTTTTTCATATAACTATGAGATCGTTTAATTTTAAAGACATATTTTACATTTATTTTATGTTTTTATGTTTTTCGAAAACTCACAGACTGATAGCTTATAGCAAAACTAGTTTATTAATATTTAAATTTGTGATCTTTTATTATAAAATATCACTATATATCATCGAGCTACAGGTTATTTGGTTTACGTTTTTATGTTAATTCTTTCTTTTCAGGTCTAAAAAATTCCTAATTTTGTGTCTTTTATTGAGTACATTATTTTTAATTTGAGCTGGCATTTCTTGTATTTTTCGTTAGTGCTCTTTCTGAGCTGAGTAAGGTCCACATCAATTAGGCTATAGTGCTTGTAATACTTGGTTTTGTCCCTTATATATATATATATATATATATTGCAATTTGTTTATCTTATTAAAATTGCATTTCTTTCTATTTACGTTGAAAATTACTTGTTTTATAAAAAATTTAAGTGGTTAAAATAGTTATAATTAAAGTCTATTTTAATGACCAACGATTCTCAAAAGAGATCGAGCATACATGAAAAAAAAAAAAAAAAAAAAAAAAATATATATATATATATATATATATATATATATATATATTCCAAAAGCAATAAATTAACAATGATAAAATCAACTAACCATGTACGAAGTGATGCTTACATCGTTATCAGTTTATAATTAAACCAAAAACGTTGAAAATTAATGGCAGTAGGTTTTCTTTGGCTTGAAGAGGAAGCAAAGGATGATGGGCGCAAGCCCAGGCAGACGGCATGCATGTGTGGAGCAATCATAAAAACATGCATATATTGCAGAGTTCGCAGCAGTGAGGCCCTCATTGCTTGCTAACTAAGTGATAAGGTGATATCTTTTCCCTCTTAAACAAAACATCTCAGGCATTATTTCATGCCCTACCTCACTTATTAATATCATTGATTTGCCAAGTCAACAATAGTATGATAGCTCCAATTTAAAGAACATGCTTTCCCACCTTATTGCTGTCAAAACCAAATGACAAGATTATGAAGCTTTAATCTAGTTTACTGTGGTTAGCCCATCTTAATCACGTTTTTATTTCTTTTTCTGTAACAAATGTTTACTCCTCCATTTGTTACCTAAGCCACGCCTAGATAAACTACTACTCTAATCCTACTGTACTGTGATTCTGCTATGCATGACTATCATCATCACCCAACAAGGTTGAGATGTTAAGGAACCATGTCAGGGCATGTACTGCGTTAGCATCGAATTCATGTCAATAGTTCCATCTAAATGCTCTTTCTTTTTTTTATCCTTCAATATATCTGAGGCTTAAAGACCCAGACTAATAAAATAGAGAGTTTTTTACATATTCAAGACAAACCAAGACAAATTACTACTCTAATCCTACTGTACTTTGATTGTGCTATGTGTGACTATCATCAACACCCAACGAGGTTGAGATGTTAAGGAACCATGTCAGGGCGTGTACCGCATTAGCATCGAGTTCATGCCCAGAGTTCCATCTAAACGCATTTCTTTTTATCCTTCAAGATATCTCAAGGCCTAAACACTCAGATTAATCCGTTCCTATTCTGTTGAACACATAAGATAGGAACAGCTACCAAGAGAGTTTTTTACATACACAAGGATTTGAATTTGATTGTTTAAACGACTAACACTCCTTCCACTCAAGTCAACCCTCATGAGTATCTAAACGCATTTTGAAAAACACTTTTCGACCACATTACTGAATATATTAGCCATCATTTTGTGGTTCTTGGGGACATCTCTCTTTATTGAAGTTATCAATTAATATACCAAACGTTATGGCGTGGGAAAGAATTTAGACAAGTCTGACGCAAGATAGAAACTAGCTAGGTTTACAGCTCTTGGCATAGCAAACTGACAAGGGTTGTGAGACATATCATGTAGCACCACAGCCTTGTTTAATGGCTTCCATCATCAATGGTCATCGAGCAAAACGACTAAGTATTGTGAAACATAACATGAAGCACCGCAGCCTGGTTTAATGACTTCCATTATCGATGATGATAGGTGCGAGCGGTTATTAGACTTATAAATGGGCAAATTATGAGGACATTGAAGCTTTGAGAAAGAAACACCCCTCCCATTAACATTCACTAGCTAGGCTTGTATACTCGAAAATTTGCATCATGCGTCCAGAATACTAAATTTTGGGCACAAGTAAATCAGGATAGACATTTCTAGCATTCAACAGCAAACGAGAGCATTGGAATAAAAAATAAACAAGTTGACGGTTCTAACAACAGGGAAACGTTACATTACATTCCCTTTTCCCCCCTAAAATGCCTTCAAATAGATATTCACAGACTAGCAGACCCATTTCTTCCCAAATTTGAGTCTGCAACAAAAACAACTTAAAGAAAAACAGACATTTTGAAGTTCCATCCTTCCACCTAACGAATAAGAGAACCACAGGATAGCAAATTCCTTAATTTGCTATATAGATTCTTCTGCGTCAACCCATTGCATACTTCTGAGTCCAGCTACGAGCAGTGGCCTCATACTTAGCTCTGTCCGTCTTGTACATATGAGCAATTTCAGGCACAAGTGGATCATCAGGATTTGGATCGGTCAACAGAGAGCATATAGACAACAGCACCTGTATTTGAAAAACACAGAAAGCTGTTGTTGTAAAAACAAACAAAAGATCTTCCTAAAATTGCAAAACCACTTCAACTGGTGTTGTAGAAACCAACAAAATAGCATTATCCTACATAATTCGGTCTTGCACCAACATCAAATAGCATCATAGAAACAATTAATGAAGAAATTTCCTCTCCAATCATATTTTCTGTTACATTATTTTCTTACAAGGAACTATTTTTGTCACCAAAGTCTTACAATTTTTCTTCCCTTTCATTTCAGGACAGGGAAGTGGTGGCACCTATTCAAAAAATTAGGAAAGTAATAGACCACCATATCCACATCAATCAATAACAAGCTCACACCAGTAAGTGTTAGAGAAATAGATATCAAGCACAGCATTCAAAGTCTAAATCTAATAGTTCATGAAGACCTAATACACATACCAGCATAATTCATCATTAACATAATAGATATCAGAAAGCAGAAGGTAATGCAGTCGATAAGAAACATTTTATTAACAGCACCATGATATCCACTCTAGTCACCAAGAGGTGATTGAACATTGAAAAATAGCAGCAGAACTGCTCACTGAATGTGTTCATACAGTCCAAGGAACTGTTAATTGCATTCTTTAACACATATAAGAATATGGCTTGCAGGCCTTCCAAAACATTATCATTAGCGGTTACGATAGTTTTCTTTCAGGACCTCACAATACCGTTCCATCCAACCTCACCCCACTGCTACACACCTTAAATCCAGAACTGGGTAGAAGTTGGGTTGAAATTCACATTTGGGTAGTTCTTCATATTATGTAAATAGTTTCAACATAAAATAAAAAGTTGGATGGTCATTACTAATGGATAGCGACATTATAATTAACAAAACACTTTGGTTTCAAGTCTCAGTTGTCATTCTAAACATTTGATGTATATGCATAGAACACCAAACAAGATTTCAGATTAATAAGAGTTTCAGCATCAGCAAATGCCTAAACAGATTAGGCAAAATGGAAATGGTCATATCAAACCTTCGAAATAGTTAATGCTGGGCTCCACTGCTCTTTAAGAATATCCAGACATATGCTTCCATTGCTGTTAATGTTTGGGTGAAAGACTTTTGTCCTGAATGCAACCTGAGGCATACAATCCAGATAGTCTTATCAACTTCTTTAGTACAACACAAGCTACTGAAGGTACGATACATGAACTCGTCACACAAATCAAGTTAAGCAAGTATTTGACCCAAAATAATTGGGATAAGCTATTTCTATCCTATTATTATTCGACCAAACTTTTTGTGAGTTGTTGCGATATAAAGCTGTTATCCAATGTATCATTAGTCTAAAATATTTCACTTCACACCTATCAACCAATAAAAGTAGAACATGAAAGCACAACACTTCTGCTCATCTAAATGCCTGAATCAATTCAAATTCCAATAATAATGCCACCCTAAATCTAACATAACACATTAAAATAATATAAAAGGTTTATGTAATTGATAGTTGATAACAATTCTCAAGCAATCTCTGTGCGTTATTGAGCTGTTCTCCAACTATCTAGAAAGTCCTTCATACTTCTGTACTGCCCTCTGATCTTACTCAAATTGTTATACCACTCATTTATCTTTTTATACATTACCACTAAACTCAAAAACTTAGTCATTTGTTTGCATTTAGAAAGCATGTCACATTATCAGACATTAATCCCCACCATAATGACCGATCAGAACTTTCACAATATCATTGCCATAAATTCCTGTCATTTCACTTATTGAAACCTACATCTAATGCAGGAGCAAATGTAAACCTTTCTACAAATACCAGCAATCAATAGTTTTACAGAGTTTGATGAAGGTACAACATAACCATATTCCTCTTTCCTTCTCTTGCTGACAAGGAAACCCAAAATTTATCATATTAGATACATAGCTCTCGAGGGTACTTCGTACAAAAAAACAAAAGCATAAAAAAAGATCTACCTTGGGGGGTTTAAAAGGATAATCAGGAGGGAAATGAATAGAAACTAAAAAGACACCTCCTGCATATGGGCTATCAGCAGGTCCCATAATTGTTGCTTGCCAATGGAACATATCCTCAGCTACAGGACCTAAAATTCCAACCATATTACGCAAAAATCAAGTTAATGGCCGAAAAAGATGGAAACTTTTCACCTCTAATTCCACAAAAAGATGCAAATCAGCTCTCAGGTGCAAAAGGGTCAGCAAATAATTTAACAATAAAGAGAAAATAGCTTTAAAGATGAGGGTTTTTTTTTTTTTTAATTTTTTTCTAAGGGAAAATTGAAAAGAAAACAGGTTGAAAAAAAAAAAGGAATAATAAGCTACCAGCACTGCAAGACGTAGGTGGATCTTTCTGCAAGTCCTTGAGCTCTTTCAAGATGCGTTTGGAAGCCATTCAATCAGAAGCCCAAAATCAAATCTTGACTGACTGAATCACCAACTAACATCAAAATAAGGAAATAGAAACAGCCCAGATAAGCGAAATAGCAGATCTACAAGTAAATACAAAAAGAGAGAGATAGAGTGATTACCCAAGAGAAGATTTTTGGAATCTAAGGACAGGCGAGGATAAAGATTGAAACTTTGTTAAATTATTATAGGGCAGACTTGAGAGAGAGAAAAAGAAAGGGCTTCTGCTTCTAGAATTTTCTCTCTCTCACCAATTTTGCGTAAGATCAACGTCCTACTCGTTTTTTGTTCTATTATATTCAATTCAATTAATGGTGCTACTGCTATGCGCTATCTATCATCAATATTATCCTTTGTTTGCATTCTGATCCTTCTTCTTTTTTGTTTCCTTTTTCTTGCACTTAAATCTTTTTTGTTTTACCTCTAATCCTTGAACCATAAACAATGGCTAGCAACATGGGATTCCACCCAAGTTTCTCAATGGATGTAAACATAACTCTTAAGTGTAATCCTTTTCAGTAAGGAGATTTTTTCTTTGAATTTCAATTTTAAAACTAATATTTAAATAAATTTATTCTTTTGAGTGTACTACACCAAAACTAAAGAAATTTGGACCTCTAATCTCAAGGTTTAAGGTTTAAATTTCATTTCTCAGTGTTCTTGTCACAACAACAAAACCGATACCTACTTTTCATGTTTCAAGAGTACGAAGTATTTGGAATCTCTGACTTTAAGATCAATTCATACCCATCGAAGGTGATTGAAGAATAGTAAGTTTTCGGATTACCAATATATATAAGAAATATGTAAAGCATCGCCCCAGAGGACACAGTTCAATGTTGAGGTTCGGGATTGCTCACCGATGATATTCATGTTCGATTCTCTCTACGCACGCTTGTCATCTTCACGATGTCTTATCTACCCACCGAGCTTACGGGGTGTTCAATGGATCCACAAATTAGTCGAGGTGCGCGCAACCGACCCGGTACCTTGGGTTATCAAAAAAAAAAAAAAAGTAATGCATCCAACCACTTCAATTTTTTTTCCCTATCCTTTTCTTTCATCATCATTGTATATAACAATTTCACACTTTTTAATAACTTTTTTTTATTCTAAAATAAATTAAACATTCACTTGATCGAAAATTAATTTTTTTCTTTTGGAAATTTTTTTTTTAAATATACTTATGAATAACTTTAATGATTATATTGAAACCGAGAAATAAATTAATACTACATAATTTATTTTAATTATATCACTTATACGTTAGTAGAAAACTTTTAATATGGTATCTTCTCTATTATAAATTATAATAACCCATTTGAAATATTATGAAATTACTATCATTTAAGAAAACATTATATATATTTTTTTTAATTCAAAATGAACTTATTATTTGATTCTGGTTGAATCCCAGATTATCCTCGATTCACCCTTTAACCCTTGACCCTTTTTTTCCCAGGTTCGGATTTAACAACCTTAATTTTATAACATGGCAGGTTAGTGATAGTAAACAAGAGAAATGAAATGGATATATATATATATATATATATATAAAGTAGAATTAAAACATTTCTAACAATAAATAAAGGAAAAATAAAAAATTCAATGCAAACAATCAATAAAAATTCATTCTTTACTACTCTAGAACAAGTTTTCAGCTCCTCTGCTAGTGATAGAATTACCTCCACCTGAATAGTAGTAACAAAGCAGAAGACAACAGATAGTGAACGACACTAACTCAAATACTGAGCATCTCTACTTTGTAGTCTGTTGGTTTCGCATGATTGGGCTAATATCCTACCAATTGATGGAAATGAAGCTACTTCTTAAATTGTGATATGGAACCAAAGATTTTAACTTTGTACTTCGGTTTCATTGCATCGGTTTAGGTCATCACATACTGCATTGAAAGGCACGCAATACATCTTAAGAACTCCAAGATGAAAGGCTTGTTTCCACTTAGAACCACATGGGCAACCACCTGCCAGTTTCCTGCATTTGTAGCTAATGTCCTTTTGTTCTCTTCCTTAACTCCAGATTGGTTCACATGAGTTACCGCATCCAAAACTGTCATGTTTTTCGCTTTCTGCGAAAATCCACCCACTGAAGTCTGACCCAGATCAGTATTCTTTGATGATATGCCAACCATAAGGGAGCTGTAGTATTGAAGCTAACATTTCCATGTTCTCTACTTGGATTTCTAGTTGAACCTGTGGCATTCAAGAGCGTGGTTTTTGTTTATGTATTGGACGTCTAGTGCAATGAAGTTGAAGCCAGAAATCAAGGTGAACGTCAGGGGATTCTGATCGGAGTATGGATAGGAAAAAAACACCAAGAAGGAGCACGATGATAGCGAGTGCAGGCACTCCCAAGATCATCCGTGCACAGCATACGAAACAGCACGGACTCTGCTTTCTTCCCTCTTCTTGTTCCGATTCCTGCGAAGTAGGGATATCGGAGAGTGAACCCTGCGTGTGAGCCTTTGTGGGTTCTTACGATTCATAGAAGAAGAAAACTAGGGAGGAGGAGGAGGAGGAGGGTGCGAGGATGGAACTGATTATTCATAACTGCTCACATCAGAATCAGCCATTGCTAGAGAGATGCTCCTCCTCCTACCAAGACTGAAGTATCAATATGCGTTTAGTTTGTATGTTGTGTGCCAACTGCCATTTCTCTGCTGGAAAATCTTTGCCAATTGTGTAGGTTGAGGGGTGTCGGAAAATCATTTCAAACTCAAAAATTTAAGCTGATATGTGAGGTCAGTAATGATTTTATACGACTCTTTAATATACTCCTTCAAGTGAAAGCATTTTGAACTTGAAACTTGCATAGGTTTATATTATTTTGAAACTTGCATAGATTTATACTACCTTTTGCTTATTTAATTACATAGGTTTATATTATTTTGAAGCTTGCATAGATCCAGACTATTTTAAAACTTGCATAGATTCACACTATCTTGTGCTTATTTAAATAAAAGAGAAATGAGATAGTAAGATTTGAACTCATGAATACTTAGTCAACAAAATTTTTAATACGCTTGCACAGAGTTCACATTAACTTATGCTTATTTAACTAGAAGATAAATGAGAGTTTTAAGATTTGAACTTGCGACCACTTTCTCAACAAAATTTTGATATCATATCAATGAAACATCTTAACAAAGAAACGTAAACTGTTAGGTGAGGCTTTGGAAATAATTTTATATGATTTTCTAACAAGGAGAACTGTACATTTTTGGTAGATGAGATGGTTGTCAAATGACTCTCTCTATTCAAAAGATTAAATTGCTAGATAACACTCTAAGATATAATTTATATTATTTTATAACAGTTATTGGCTATAGTTACATCCTGAAAATTGATGCATGCGTAGAATGTCGGAACGCCAAAAAACCACTTTGAATTCTTTAATTTCGGAACATGCCTGAAAGCCAGTTGTTATATTCAGCTTTAACCTGCCTATTTTTCAGTGTTTGAAAATAATTCAGCTTAAATTTCTAGAAATCATTACAGCAAGAGCTTGTCTTGCTGTATCCAAATCCAGGTTGTAATCTGTTGGGCTTTGATATATTATTGACTAAAATCAGAATTGCATGCATATATATTTAGTGTCTGATAATCTCAAGCAGTCAAAATCTGATCTCATCATGCTTGGGCGGAGAGGGAATCATGATTTTATAAGTACAGAGTGGAAGAGAACAGCCGTAAATGCAATCATTTTTTCATGAAGATGGCTAAGATGGTGTAATGACATCAAACAGGCAGAAAAAATGGAGTGTCCTTGATTCAAGTCATCAATTCATTCACAATGTTGAATGGAATTTTACAACAAATCAAGAGGTTTCCACCTAATCAGACTAAAAAGTTAAAAAATCAAAGCATTACTACATATCTTGGGAAAAAAAAAAACAAAGGAAAACAATTGAGACAAATTCACACTCTATGATTCTGCACATACACATTAGCTTTGAATAAATGCTTGAGAAACCTTACAACGCAGGTGCTCATGTATCATTTTGAAACTTGATCTTGAAATCAAGCAGCAACAGCATTTAGTCAATCACGGAGTCTGCACATTTGAGTCCTTGGATTTATTCTCTTCGGAAGATGGCCGGTTCTCTGAGTCAGATTGCCGGATTTCTTCAATCATTCGAACAACTTCTTCCATGTTAGGTCGCATATCTGGTACCTTTGCCACACATGTCATTCCAATTTGCAACATCTGCACCATTTCTTCTTCAATGTTTTGGTATCTCATCAGTTCAACATCGAAAACCTCAGCTGTCCACTCCTCCCTCACAACTGATTGGACCCACCTAGGGAGATCAACCATGTCATCACGCCCTGGTGATTGGATTGGAGCTTTCCCAGTAAGCATCTCGAGGAGTACAACACCAAAGCTGTAGACGTCTGATTTATGAGTGTGCTTACGGGTTTCAATCACCTCAGGAGCACGATAACCTGCAGTCCGAGATGAAGTAGCAGGGACGTTCATGAGAGGGGTCAGACCAAAATCAGAGATGCAACCGTCACGATCCTGGCTGAGGAGGACATTCGATGATTTGATATTTCCATGAGTGAACTTTGGACCGCCAGAAGAATGAAGGTGGGAAATTCCCCGTGCAGTGCTAAGGGCAATCTTAATCCTAGAATCCCAATCTAGTGGAGTTCTGCCAGCTCCCCTGTTTGCTGTTGTCAAATTTGAGGTGAGTTTAGGATATTAGTAAACCAGTGGTTTTAAATTCCATGCCAAAGTGAATTTAACTACAGAGAATATAAGTTGATTGATGCAATGGAAGATGATCTCCTAACACTGATTGTTTAGTCCTGTTGTCTGTGTTTGGGTGGGAGGTAAGAATCATCTCTTCTAGGAATGTGGACTACTTGTCCAAACACAGTAGATTGAGAAATGACTAAGAACTCATTTTAGATCCTTTTTGCTGCATATCCATAGTGCTGTTCTTTGGCATGATAAGGAAATACAAGCTAATCCTCTATGTAGGATTTCAGGGAATGATTGTTATATCCAAAGAATAAGAAAGTAAACTTGGTACATGTTAGTGGCAATGTGTACAAAGTTTCACAGTATTATCAGCATTCTGGTCATAACTATGTCTTCATAGCGTAAAATAAAAGTGAGTGAAAGCATCCTTCATGAGTTTCTAAAGCAACTTCTTAGAGTCATTACATGAGTTTAAGACATACCATGCAAAAGCGTGGATAAGCTGCCAGCAGGAAAATAGTCATAGACTAGAAGCTTCTCATCCTTCGAGTAATAATAAGCACGAAGTGGCACAATATTTGGGTGCTGGCCAACTCTCCCCACAATCTCCATCTGCTGCTCGAACTCTCTCTTTCCCACCACCACTTCTTTCAACCTTTTGACCACCACTGTGGTTGATTCCTCCAAGACAGCCTTATATGCTGTGCCATAACTACCCTTTCCTAGAACTTCAGCTGAAGCTCTTAATAAATCCTCGAGATCGAAATTGTACAAGCAGCCTTCAAAAAATACCAGCTTGTTTTTTTCAGGTTCTTGCACCCCACTTCCAAACTCCTCTTTGGGCTTCTCACCCCTCCCACTGCTAACTGCTTTCCCTTTCAACACGCTAGTGCCTCCGTCATCTTTTTTCTTCAAACAGCAGCACAAGATGATTAAAACAACAAGAAACAGAACAGCAGACCCTCCCACCGCAATGGCAATGATCGCTCCCATTGTCAGTTTCACTTTTGAGCTTCGTTTATGTGGAGTTGCTGGTGGGGGAATGTAAGCAGGAGATGAAGAAGGTGGAGGAAGGCCTGTGGAGCAAGGATTAAGAGGTGGTCCACATAAGAGAGAGTTTCCAGCGAAGGATGAATTAGGGAACTTTTGAAGAGATACTGGAATCGAGCCATTAAGATGGTTGTAGCTTAAATTCAAATGCTTGATCCTAGTGTGGTTGAGATCAGGTATGGGTCCAGAAAGTGTGTTATTTTGGAGGCTTAATCCAGTAAGTTGTGTTAAATTTGCTATCGTTTGAGGTATGTTGCCTGTGAAAGAATTGTATGAGAGATCCAGTACATTGAGCTGCAAGGATAAGGAGGTTGGAATGCCACCAGAAAAGTTATTATGTTGGAGGAAGAGGTTCTGGAGTGATGGAAGAGAGGTAATATCAGAAGGAAGACCACCTTCGAGGACATTGGATCGGAGGCTGAGAACCCTGAGGGCATCAAGTTTACCTATGGTTTTTGGTGGGATATTACCCACAAGTCCCACTCCAGGGAGTCTGAGTTCAACAACACGAGTGCCATTTGAATTACAAGTGACACCCACCCAAGACTTGCAGACAAATGAAGCAGGGTTCCAGTTGAGCTTCCTTAAATGGGGTACGGCATCAGCAAAGTCTAGAAGAGCTTGCTTATCTGACTTCAGGTCAGCAATAGCAAAAGGCAAAATAATGGTTAGGATGATGAAGAAATGAATAACTACTGGGAAGAACTTCATGGGGAGTTGATCTGGACTTGCTATACAGAAATGTAAGCCCTTCAGGTCTGTTTCCCTGATTCAGCACAGAAAACAGAAAACAATATAAGACAGCGAGCACATAAGGCAATTCATGAATTTTTACAAGAAAAGAAGATATGGATCCCCGTTCTGTTACAGGCTAATTACAGCTTAAAAAAAACACATTCTCATTTCTCAAATGAGCATAGCAATCTCTCGTATAAAGAGAGTTTCAACTAGCTATGTGTCTATCAAATGAAGATTTCATAAGTTGCTATTAAGCTTAAATCTGAAAAGAGAGAAAAGACTTAGCTTTCCACTTCCTATTTTCCAATGCAAAAACAATAATGATTACCACACTCTTGTCTGCTAAGCACCCAAGACAGAAGCAAGTGTGTCCAGTACTTCAAAATTACGAGATTCGTAGATCTATAATTAAAAAGCTACCGATTGATCATTCTCCCAACTTTTCTTACCAGAAAAGTAAAGAAATATTCTTCTACTCATCCTTACTTTTATCCAGTATCTAAAGAAATGTTAAAAACAATTAGAAAAAGTAATCATTATCCAAAAGCAGGAGGCAAAAGACATCACAAAAATGAATAAAGCAAGCAAAAGAACAATAGTTTTCCATTACATTCTAGGGCTCCCTAGATGAAATGCTTATTCTTCATAGCGATGGCCAAATGGCATAGAGAAAGATCCAATACCAACAGGAAAAAATAAAAAACAAATTAATAACAAAAAGGTAAGGAAAAGAAGAAGGAGCAATATATGCCTTTGCTGATCAAATCAAAGAGACCAAACACAGCAAATTACCCTCACATGCGAATTAATTAGTTAAAGAAAACAAAATAACAAAGAATCCAAAGACTTTGAAAATGACCAGGTGGGTTCTATAACAGAAATCTCCCAGAAAGATGCTACATTACAATTATCTAGAGGGATTAGAGTTAAGCTGGTTGAACCTATTCAGGTTCTGCTTTAAGAGCAAAACAAAAGTACAGCAGCTATTCAAGTTGAAGAGATAAAAAAGACAAGGAGAAACCTGAAAGTGTGCTAAGCATTACCAGAAAAGGGGCGATTAAGCAATTTAAAATAGTGTTAGCTAGAGTTGTTGAACAACTAAAGGTACATTCTTTGCGTTGAAAAGAAAGGAAAACAAGTCGAAACTAGTCAAGCCTAAAAGGTATCCTAATAGAGATCCAAAGCAAACTGAAGAATCACAACCATTACAACCAACTCACAACATAATCTGAAATCACAACCATTACAACAAACTCACTTCATAATCTGAAAAAAAAAAAAAAAAAAAAAAAAAAAAAAATCTCAAATTAGATAAGAAATCGAACTTTCTTGTGAGAATCAACAAACAATATTGAAAATGAAGCAGATCTAGAAGCTTAAGAATATGCCCAAAATGTAAAGCAGTTAATAATGCAGGTAAAGTTGGAGACTTTGAAGAGCTTAATTAATGAAACAGAAGAGTGAATTACAGGATAAAATTGTGAACCTGGAAAAAGAAGCATGTAGGAAGACTCTATCATTAAATAATGCCTTGATAATTGAACCGAGTGGCTGCCATTACTGCAGCTCTCTCTCTCTCTCTCTCTCTCTCTCTCTCTCTATGGAGAAACTATAACTGAAACATCCAGAGAACCAAAAAACCGAAAAAACCCATTTCTAGTACATCAAGATTCTGCAAAGAGAGAAGCTTTAGATCCAGCATGCATGTTGTAATTAGCTGAAATGGGTGATTTTTGGACAATGAGCCACCAACATAGGAATTCACAAGATTAGCAGAGCATTTAAGAGGCTAGAAGCAGCAGTAGCAGCAGCTTTGAGTTTTGAGTTTACTTAAAACAAAATAAACAGAAGCGAGAGCACATAACTAGTAGTACTATTTGCTTTGTTGAAGAGTGGAAAAGAAGGCAAATATTTTGTTTTTGAATAAGAAGGGCAAAAGGGAAAGATTCAGAAGAAGCAAGAGAGAATAAAAAAGTTACAAACTTTGGTCTTTGTAACAGCAAAGAGGAGAGAAAGTGGAAGTGATAGAGCGTAAATTTGACTTATTTAAGATCGAATTACATAATCAACCTCATACCTTAAACTAATCAACTCAAAAAGACAGCTACTTTACTGTACAGATTCAGATTTCAGACAGCTAATGCGCTGTTTATCTCACAATCTGTCTGCTTTTCACTCCCTTCATAATCACAACTCTGCCACTGTAGGTTTCAAACATACCGTATCTGGAAGGATGCATTGCCTGCCCACATGGATAGAAGTCAGAGGTGCAAGCCTGGAAGCAAAGCCTTTCCCTTTCTTTTCTATTTTCTTGGTTGTAACTGCCCCTCTCCTTTTCACCAAAAATAATTTTTTAAAAAAAATAGTGGGTGCGGTGTGGCCTGTGGGGTCTTACCTGTGTCACTACCATTGCCTACACAGGCAATTATGCCTCATATTCCTCCCAGGAAAGTCCTGTGCTTTTAATTGGGACCTCCATTGCTTCGCAGATTTCACACTGTTCTAATAAACTATTCCTTCTTACGTACCAAAAATTGAAGAAAAATTAAAAACTATACCAGTTTCTTGTCCTCACTCCCCTGTTGTCTACGTACTTTTTTGCAATTTCAAGATAGTTTTGGGTTTTTAATGGGTCACATCTTTAAATTCAAAGTCAAACTCATGAGTTACATGTCCAAACCTAATGAAAAAGTTTTCCTGTAAGTATTGCATAGACCAAACTTAATCTTTATACAGATAATGACTTTACAACAGCAATGTCCTACATTTTTTGTTCTTTCATCTTCCATCCTTTCCTCCATCAATTTTCTTTATGATTCAAGGAAACAATAATGATTCCTCTCAAGTATTATTCCATAAACTACAGTTTTTTTTTTCCCCAATAATATTTGAAAGCCAGCAAAAGAAAATGATTGTGGTCTCCTGCCCTGAACTTTAAGTTATCTTATCACCAGAACATGCCTTATGGGCATTACTCATTAAGTCTCCCGGCAAATAGTGATTGATTGGCCATCAAATCCAAACCCCAGATAAGTAAATAGGTTGTGTTTTTGGTAACACGATGGGTCGAAAAGACACTAAATTGATGATTTTTCTTTTTATTTCCAAACACATTCTTGAATAATGTAAGGATAACTTAAGTTTCGTACTAAGAGTCTGTCTTATATTGAATAACTAAAAAATAATTTTGCACATATCCATGTTTCCTACCATTCGATTTTTTTAATTGAAATCCTAAATTTTTTCAATCTAATTTAAAAACTATATTTTATGTTATTGTTCTTTTAGATCCTAGTTAATAATAATTTATTATGTAAGTACACGTGATAAATTTTAATCAATAATAGCTTACAACGTGTAATTATAAGCTTGCAACGTAAGCATACGTGGCACGTTAGGATATAAAACAACAATAATATAAAAATCAAATTCTTAAATTAGATAGAAAAAAATTTAGAATCTTAATAAAAAAATTCAAATTATACAAAATCTCAATACATGTAAAAGCTAATAAAAAAATATTAAAACAACATAAAATATTTTAGTTTCATAATAGGTGATTTATTTTCGATCACTTATAGTGTTTAACACTCTCGTATTATTAATTCGATGTAGAATAATATCTCTAACATATGCTACTTTAACAGCTAACTTCAATGCAGATTTCTAACATTATTGAGCTGTCCTATGAATAGTAAGCATTGACCGTAGAGCGTCGTTGGAAGGTAAATACAGATCATATCCTTCATCAAAGCTCAACTACTCTCTACCCTCTTTTTTTATGAATCCCAACTACCTCCACCAATCAATTTTAATGCTCTCTTTTTCCATGTAAACATGCAACTGCAGATCTTTTATATATATATATATATATATATATATATATATATATATATATATATATATGTACACGTACTAGAAATATATATCGGTGTCAAGAATTATGAGAAAAAAGAGAATTGTGTTTGCTTTGAAATCTGGTCAAAGAAATGTCCGGAGGTAATAATGGATGAAAGTGATTGATTTTGGGATGAATGTTTTGCCTTAATTTGCCACCTTAAGAATGGCAAACCTGCTGCTGCATTGCTCATATATTTTAAATGTTCCAGTGAAGCTTACTCTTTAACCACCAGCTAGATCCCATCTTAAAGAATTCATGGATGGAGACTTCCAACCCTAATTATGATGTCTCAGCTCTCATCAAAAAGTTCATTATTGCAATTGTTAATTTGGTATGAAAAGATGATATGATTTCTCCCTAATCAATAATTCACAACTAACTAATTAAAGTGAAGCATTTTGGTATATATATATTTTTTTCATTAATCAAGATCAATTAAGTTTACTGCTTTCTAAATTAGTTCAGAAATAGATTATGTTCAGTTTTTGATTGATTTTAAAAACCGAACTCTTTAAGTTAATCGATAATTTACATTTAACACTAAAAAAAACATTTTTCGAAAATAAGAATCTAACTAGAGACATTCTTTTTGCGACTTTACCTATATAACTATAGTATTTATTTTGTAAATTTAAAGCATAAAGATTAATGCAGACAACAGTGTTCTAAATGAGCTAAGGTTGTTCATTAACCATTTGCATTAGCCCTTGTGGATTATAAGCTTATATGACAAAAGATGATGGAAAGAACGATTCTCCCAAGCTAGCTTGGCTGAGAAGTAGTGGAGGCTTTGTCCCTTGATATTTTATAATAAATTAATTCACAATTCACAATTATGTGTATATAAAATGAGAATTGAAAGCTTTGAAAATAAGTCTGCATGGATGGTCTTGGTCATGAGTTTGGAGGAGGAGTGGGGACGGAGAAACCTAATTACTTTATGATCACGTAATTACCACATTAATTAGAACATAATATTTTAAAGTTGATTGCTTTATCATATGCATATAAATAGGTAGGTTTGACAGAATATATATTCCTTTGGATCAAGTAAATTAATTTGGCTGACCTT